CGGGGCCCCACTGGAAATCATTTTTCTTCCGTGTCACAAGGTAGAGAGGGCTTACAATCTGACTATACTCGGGGATATGCATCCTCCAAAAGCCCACAGCGCCTAAGAAAGCCTGTGTTTCCTTCTTGCTGGTTGGTGGGGACATGGCTGCTATTTTGTTAATCACCTCCATGGGAATTAGGCGGCGTCCATCTTGCCACTTCACTCCTAGGAACTGAATTTCCTGAGCAGGTCCCTTGACCTTACTCCGTTTAATGGCAAAACCGGCTCTTAGGAGAATCTGGATTATCTTCTCTCCTTTCTCGAAGACTTCGCCCGCCGTGTTTCCCCATACAATGATGTCGTCAATGTACTGTAGGTGCTCTGGAGCCTCACCCTTTTCCAGTGCAGTCTGGATCAGTCCATGGCAAATGCTGGGACTGTGTTTCCACCCCTGAGGCAGTCGATTCCAGGTGTACTGCACACCTCTCCAAGTGAAAGCAAATTGTGGCCTGCACTCAGCTGCCAAAGGAATGGAGAAAAAGGCATTGGCAATGTCAATGGTGGCATACCACTTGGCTTCCTTGGACTCCAGCTCGTACTGGAGCTCCAGCATGTCCGGCACAGCAGCACTCAGGGGTGGTGTGACTTCATTGAGTCCACGGTAATCCACCGTCAGCCTCCACTCTCCGCTGGACTTACGCACTGGCCATATAGGGCTATTAAAGGGTGAGCGAGTCTTGCTGACCACCCCCTGGGTCTCCAGTTCACGGATCATCTTATGTATAGGGGTCACAGAGTCTCGGTCGGTGCGGTATTGCCGACGGTGCACTGTTGCTGTGGCTATCGGTACCAATTGTTCTTCAACCTTCAGCAGTCCCACAGCAGAGGGGTCCTCTGAGAGACCAGGCAAGGTGTTCAACTGTCTAATTTCCTCCGTCTCCACAGCAGCTATGCCAAAAGCCCAACGAAGTCCTTTTGGGTCTTTGAAATACCCACTCCTCAGGTAATCTATGCCAAGGATGCACGGGGCCTCTGGGCCAGTCACGATGGGGTGTCTGTGCCATTCCTTCCCAGTCAGGTTCACTTCAGCTTCCAGTACAGTCAGCTGTTGGGATCCCCCTGTCACCCCAGAAATGGAGATGGATTCTGCCCCTACGTATCTTGATGGCATTAAAGTACATTGTGCGCCGGTGTCCACTAAGGCCTTATACCTTTGTGGCTCTGATGTACCAGGCCACCGAATCCGCACTGTCCAATAGACTCGATTGTCCCTTCCTCTACCTGGCTAGAGGCAGGGCACCCCTAGTCCTGGTCATGGTACTCATTGTGCTCTTCTTGTGGGTATGACCTGGAGGTCCCTTCAAGAGGATCAGACGTATCATCATTCCTGTACCGTCTGGAGTCTTGCCCACGAGAGACTGGAGCAGCGTTTACCCTTGAAGAGTTCCTTGTGGTACTTGTTCCTCTTTTCAGTTCACGTACCCGGGCTGCTAAGGAAGGGGTGGGTTTCCCATCCCACTTCCTCATATCTTCTCCGTGCTCACGGAGGTAAAACCATAGATCGCCACGTGGAGTGTACCTTCTCTCCTTAGCTGGGGGACGCTGGCTCCTAATAGCAGAGACTCTTGTTTGTCCTGGTGAGATATGGAAGATCCCTTCCTTAATTTCCTCTCTTAGCTTCTGGTGTCCCTCTTCAATTTTCTCTTCCAGGCTTCGGACGTGTTCAGCCAGTTTGGTTTCCACAGATGAGACGTGGGCTCGTAATGGGGCGGTGACAGTGTCTTCATACATCCTGAGTTTACTAACCAATGCTCCCACCTTGTCCTCTCCCTCCCTCCATTGCAGCGTTGCTAAGTAGCGGGAATACATTTCTGGCCCGAGTCGTGCAAACTTTAACCACATCTGGGAGGTGCACTGTACGCCATCTGGACTTTTAGGGAATCTTTCATTGTCTGAAAAGATTATCTCCAGTACAGCTAACTCCCTTAAGCACCGGATACCTTGTTCCATTGTGTTCCACTGTCCTTGCTGTACGTGGAGGTCCTCCTTGCAAAGGTATCTCTCCCTCACACTGCACAACAGTCGCCGCCAGAGGCTGAGAGTTTCCTGCCTCCTTCCAATCCCCTGATCAATGACTACATCTCGAGACAGGGACCCCAGCTGTCTGGCTTCACTCCCATCTAGGATTGTATCGTTAGCTGCGGCATCCCAGATTCGGAGCAGCCAGGTCAGAATGGACTCGTTCGCCTGTCGTGTGAACTCTCTCCGGAGCTCGCGTAGCTCACCCAGGGATAGGGACCGAGTGATTATTTCTGGCTCTGTCTCCTCCAGTGGATGTGAAGGTCCTGCCTCTTCGTCATCATTTGCTATACGGACTGATTTAGTCTTTGATTTCCTTTTCTGGACAGGGGCGACTGCTATTGGTTTTGGTTGTTCTTCTGGCTCCTCGATGGTTTGTGTGGACACGGTGCCGGTTGGTTTATTTCTTTCTCCCTCTGACTCAGCTGTAGTTTGGGTGGACGTGGTGCCTGCGGATTTGGTCCTTCTCTCCTCCCCCTGACAGTGCTGTACCATGTCAAGTAGTGTCCGATAGGCAGTGGCCAGGGCCCAGCAGGTTGCTGTGAGCTGGCCATCTCTGGAGCTGCCAGAGCATTTTTCCTTCACCAGTCTTATCATGCTAACAGGATCCTGCAGTTGTTCAGGGGTGAATTTCCAGATCATTGGAGGAGAAAACTTCTCCAAATACTGGCTGATGTCCTCCCACTTCCCGTGCCACTCAGCATTATCTGCTCCCAGGGCAGGTGTCCAGACAACCTCCCTAGAAGGCCCTGTTCTGACCCTAAACATGGTGTACACAGTACAGAGCAGACAGAGTAACACTAACAATAACATTATACTGTCCTTAACATCAAAAGGGAACTCAATATTTTCAAAAACTGTTGTAGCAGGTCTGAAGGGGAAGAAGAAGGTGAGAGGCTGGAAACAACCATCCCCCCCTGTTCCCCCAAAGGGCTGGGTACGATTTTTAATGAAGCCCCAGAGGTAGCAACCCAAACCAGGACAGGCAAACAGGACTGAATACACATTTACAATGAAACTCATTGCTTCTGATGTTAGAATGACATAAACATAATATACTAATAAAGCAATTTGGATCCCTCTCCCTGGTCTTAAAGAGAGCATCAAAACAGGCAAATAATACCCCATCTGTGGAAATATGAACAGGCTCAAATACAACATCCATGTGACTGCATCAAACAACATGGTGATCAGGGAGTTTCTATATCCAAATAGACAAATGTTTAAAGTGAAATTGTGATTCTGGCTTCTCTCTCTCTGCCCCACGTTGGGCGGCCAAAAATGTGCTGGTTTAAGAGTTAACCAGCAGGGGAAATGAACTCAACTCAAAGGAGAGATTATAAGTCAGAATAACAATTTACTAAAATAATACAGTAAGTACAATCATACAAACAAACAATTGGTCTTAACCCACAAAACCCAAATGTATAACCCAGTACCCTGGGGCATGAACAACGTGGTGTTCCTTGGGCCCCGCTTGAGTCCAAAGTAAAGGGAGAGGGGAAGAACCTGCTGGTGGGAGAGCTGTTGCAGTCTGGTCAAAAGTGGTGATTGGAGTCCAGTATAGGGTGGTGATCCAAGTCTGTTTGAGAGCGATGAGCCGCAGTCCTTCTCTGGATCCCACAGAGTGGTTCAAAATGTTCCAAGACTCCAAGATTATATATCCTGCAGTTCAGGCAGGAATGCTCAGCACTTCCCTCAGGGCGGGGAGTTCCACAAAGGGTGTGAGGACAGGAGCATCCTCCTATCTCACAGGCCTCTTAACACCTAGTTTATAGCCTGAGGAGTCAGGCTCTATGGGCAGAGGGTGTAAATGGTTCATTGATAACAGTTTCTGGGAAATGGCATGGAAGGCTATAGAATACACAGTTTTGGGTTACACCCATACCCTGATGAACTGGTCTCAGTTGTCCTAACTAGGACAGGTTTGTAGTGTGGCTTTTCCAAAAATATTAACCACAGCCTTCTCCTATTGGCAGGTGAGCTACTTTATTTTATTCATTCTTCTGTCTCTTCTTCCCCATCTTATTGTTCTCTGCCACTTACACAGGACTTGTCTTTAAGGGAGACTTATCTGCCTATGAAGTGAATGGTTTATTGGAATAGAAGATCAATTACAAGAAATGTTTAATTCTTGAAAAAAGCTGTTCCTCCTGAAGAATGTCTGGAACAAATGCAATTTTCTGGGGTGCAATCCACATTATTTAGTAGTTTTGTGTGGTACTGTGCAGAGTATACAGGATTATCTGTGTTCAGTAGGCAATTCTTTCCTGGAATGAACCCCACTCACAGAATGATAGCAAGAGGGACTCATTGCCAAGCACCCATTCTGTCAACAAATCAATAATTTCTGGGTTTTAATGACCAACCTTCTTTGCTTGGCAAAGGGTTTATAGTTGCAGATCTCTACTGGATAATGGGACAAAAGTCCACTTCAAAAAGTGGGGCAGTACAGTATAATCCTCATCCCAAAAGGCAGGAAGAGTGAAGTATTCTACTATCATAACAAAGAGGTATCTTCCTTTTTATTGACTAGAAGTGAAGGACATGCGGTTGGGAAAGCTGTTCTTATTTATTAAAAGCTGTGTGAAGGAAACCACCTTGCTTTTCTCCACTAAACAGTCCTTAGCACTAAAAATACCTAAACACAACACTTCCTTTTCTGGGATCTTGTCCTATTAGAAAGTAACATATATAAAGATTCAATTTACTATTTTGTATTTCTTTAGATTAACTAGAAAATGGACATGTAATGACTTCTGCAGTTAAAAGACACCTGAGGGACATGGACAGCAGTAATCACATTTTGGTGACCTATCTCCAATTGTTACCCTTCTCCAGCATTCCAGAGATTCAAGGCTCTCTCTTTTGCCTGTTACTGTTCATGTACCTCAGTACTTTGGTGGGAAACATCCTCATCATCACAATCACTATGGTAGATGCTACCCTTCACTCTCCCACGTATTTTTTTCCTTAAGAACTTTTCCTTCCTGGAGGTTAGCTATACCACATCCACCATCCCCAAGACGCTAGTGAACTTTCTCACAAAGAGGAAGAACATATCTTTTGGGGCTGTGCCACACAGATGTATGCTTTCTCCCTCCTTGGGATGACAGAATGCTGTTTGCTGGCTGCCATGGCCTACGACCGCTATGTGGCCATATGCCAGCCTCTGCACTACACGACCACGATGAGATGGAACACGTGCTTCTTGCTTTCAGCTGTGCCTTGGCTTACTGGGGTCTTGGTGGCCTTAGTGCAGACAACTTTCATCTTTACCCTTCCATACTGTGGTCCCAATGGGATCAATCACTTTTTCTGTGACCTGCTGCCTCTGCTTAAGTTGGCTTGCGTGACCACCTGCAAAAATGAAATCACCACCTACATAATAGCTGTCCTTTTCATCATAGTCCTCTTCTTATTCATAGTTGTGTCATATATCCAGATTCTCCACACCATCTTCAAGATACCATCAGTGAAGGGCAAGGGAAAAGCATTCTCTACCTGCTTTTCTCACCTAGTTGTGGTCACTCTGTTTTACGGACCTGGCATTGTGACCTACTTGAGACTCAAAGCTTCTTATTCAAGTAGCAGTAGCAAATTGTTTTCTCTTTCTTACACACTGTTGTCTCCAATGATGAACCCCTTGATTTACAGCTTGAGGAACAAAGAGGTGAAACAAGCCTTTTAAAAGAGCTGTAGTCAAAAATAGAAATATGTAATATGTTTATGAATTATATTAAGTGTAGTAGTAGCTTTGATATTGTGTGTACTGCTGGAAGGACAATATGATTTGCCAGCACTTACCCAAAAACTAATCTCTACCTTCCAGCTTTGAGTCAATCCTCCAGGTAATTCAGCCTTTAAAAAAAAAGGTTGTTTCTCTTCAGATTCTTTCTTATATCATTTTAAGATAGGTTTGGCATCCAGCTCACGTGAATCACCTGCTACTGTATCCTCTATGTCCTGTCCATCAATACAGAAATAGTTCTTTGCTTTGCAGATGTATTTACCTGTGATAAGATGAAATGCGCTATATTCTCTGAATATCGTGAAAACATTTCTGTGTAGCTTTTCTAAAAACACACTATGACGAGTGCAAGAAATTATCAGAGAAGGGGACAATGGACCTAATGAGAAGTACTACGCAAATATTTAAGACATTAATCTTCTGGTGAGTTCTGATGAAGAGATTTCCCAGATGAGCTCTTCAACTCTATTTTGTGAAGGAAGTTTATTTGAAAGTTTGAAGGGGTAAGGTTTCTCTTTGCTTCAAATACACAGTTTATCTGTTCTAAACCAGATTTCTGCCATAGAAAGAGGCGACCTATCACTTAGACATCTTCATTGCTGTATGTTTGTTTTTGAAGTCAAAACAATGAATTTATACCAACATATATATATCTTAGGCTTCTGAATTGAAAACAGAAAACAATGTCTCTTTTTGTGTAAAAAAAAAAGGTTGACTGTGGAATGACAGAAACTACTTGAGTGTCAAGGAAATGGATGGTCATAGGGAAGCTGATTTGAGACGTGAAATTTTTAAAAGTGAGGTTAAAACTTTAATTATTTTTCATTTTTTTTTTCTTCTGGTTTTACTATGTACTCACTTGGAGGATTCATGGGATCCTAGTTTACCTCTTCACTCTTCATTTTTCTTTGCTAAACTAAGACAGTGGATGTGGAATTAGTCATTCAAATGGGAGAAGCATGCAAGGGTGTTTTGCACCAGGAATTGCTAGTTCATTTTGATCCCAATAAGACAGACACAAAGGTTGTGTCAAGGATACAGATTTGTGTCAAGGATCATTTCAAGTAATTTAGTAGAGTTTACACCATAAAGAAGAGGATAATAAAGATAAAATTGCATCACTTCAGATTCTGGGAACCTGTACACTGGGACACTAGGAGGTATGGAAAAACACCTGAAGGACAATGCAGTCATCAGTCACAGCCAGCATGGAGTCATGCTTGTCAAATCTTCTGACCTTTTAGGACAGGGTAACCCACCTAGCTGACCAAGGGAAGCCAGCTGATGTAATCTTTTTGGATTTCACTAAAGCTTTTGATACTGTTTCTCACAGGATCTTTCCGGGCAAAATGTCCAGCCGACAGCTGGATAAACACATCATATGATAAGTAAGCAATTGGCTCATGGGTGAAGCACAGAGGGTAATAGTGAACGGGCTGACATCAGACTGGTGACCTACCCATAGTGGAGTTCCACAGGGCTCCATTTTAGGCCCAGTGCTGTTCAACACTGTCCTCGTTAGAACAGCTAGGACCAGTTCATCACTGTGTGGGTGTAACATCCACTGTGTATTCTACACCCTCCATGTAATTTCCCAGAAACTGTTAACAATAGACCATTTGCAGCAGCTGCCCAGAGCACACCTGACTCCTCAGGCTATAGTTATGGGTGATGTTAACTCCCCTCCAGGGAGTCATTAGCACCTCCACACCCAGCCGGAGGGGTCATGTCTGCTAACAGGCCACCAAGGATTCCAAAAATATCTCACCCATTGTGGAACTCCCCACCCCGGGGGAAGTACTGGGCATTCCTGCCTGAACTTGAGTGCATATAGTACTGGGGTCTTGGGACTTCTGGTACCATTCGTTGGATCCAAAGGAGGACCAGAACCTCGACCAGACTGCAACCACCACTCTCGACCGGACTGTGATCACCACTATCAGCCAGACTGCGGTCACCACCCTCGACCGGACTGTGACCAGCACTCTCACCAACAGGTTTTTCCCTCTCCTTTTACTTTGGACTCAGGGGGGCCCAACGAACACCGCTCCGTTCGTGCCCCAGGGTGCTGGGGGGTTTGTGGGTTAAAACCAATTGTTCATCTGTATAATTGTATTTATTGTATTATTTTTATTAAATTGTTATTCTGACATAATCTCTTTTGAGTTGAGTTCATTTCCCTTGCCAGTTTACCTTTAAACCAGCACAAACACCTTCATAAACTTGGATGCAGGACTGGAAGGGATACTAAGTAAGTTTGCAGATGATACAAAATTGGAAGGAGCTGTTGACTCCCTCGAAGGCAGAAAGGCCCTACAGAGAGATCTTGGCAAATTAGAGGGCTGGGACTTCACTTGAGGACTTCACAAACCGTATGATGTTTAACAGCAAGTGATCGATTCTGCAACAGGGATGGGGCAACCCAGGATGCACAGAGAGACCGGGGAATGAGAAAGCAGTGCTGCAGAAAGGGACCTGAGGGTCCTGGTTGATGGCAAGTTCAATACGAGCCAACAGTGCTCTGGCAGCCAGGAGGGCCAACCGTGTGTCCTGGGGGGCATCAGGCCAAGCATCACTGGCTGGTCCAGGGAGGGGATTGTCCCACTCTGCTCTGACCTGGGATGGCCTCACCTGCAGTATTGGGGCAGTTTTGGGCACCACAATAAAAAAAAGACATCAAGCCATTTGACAGCATCCAAAGGAGGGCAACGAGGATGGGGAAGGGCCTTGAGGGGAAGCCATGTGAGGAGCAGCTGAGGGCACTTGGTCTGTTCAGCTGGAGAAGAGGAGACTGAGGGGAGATGTCATTGCAGTTACAACTTCCTCGGAAGGGGAAGAGGAGGGCTAGACACTGATCTCTTCTCTGTGAGGACTAGTAACGGGAGCCTAGGGAATGGCCTGAAGCTGTGTCAGGGAAAGTTTAGATTGGATACCAGAAAGAGGTTCTTCACCCAGAGGGTGGTTGGATGCTGGAATAGGCTCCTCAGGGCAGTGGTCACAGCCCTAAGCCTGAGAGAGCTCAAGAAGCATTTAGATGATACTCTCAGACACATGGTCCAACTCTTCAGGATGGTCCTGTGCATGGCCAGGAGCTGGACTCAATCAATAATTCTTGTGGGTCCCTTCCAACTCAGCATATTCTGTGATTCTGTGATAAAATCTCCCTGACCCTTTTCCTTTCAAACCTGCAAAACACACCTTTCTCAGTCTTCCCTTGTGCATTTTGTGCACCAGCTCCTCACCATCTTTCTGGCCTTCCTCTGGACTCACTCAAGTATAGGAGTATCTTCTTTGTTCTAGGGAGCAGAAAAACAGGACACCATGCTTCAGATGAGATCTCAGAAGTATTGAATAAAAGGAAAGAATCCCTTCACTTGTCATGGTGGCATCACTGCTGCTAGCATGGTCCAGGATACAGCTGCCCTTTTCTGCAAAGGCATTTTGCTCATTCACTTTGTCCACTTGGATGCCCCCAGATGTTTTTCTGCAAAATTCTCTCCTAACCAGTGAGACCTTAGCCTGTTCCAGTGCTATTCTATTTGTGACTATCTTCATTACGCAACCTTAATGAGGAAAACACTCTTTTGGGTCTTGGTGGGGACAGCATGGGCTGTTGGATTCACAAATTCATCCAGGTTGTATTTGTTGTTCATCTTCCCTTCTGTGGCCCAAATGAACTCAACAATTTCTTTTGTGGTGTTACACAAGTGATTAAGTTAGAATGTACCAACACTTACATATTGGAGTTTATTATGTTTGTCAACAATGACCTAGTCATCTTTATATGTTTCATTTTTCTGCTGATTTGCTACAATGTCCTACTAATCTGTCTGAAAACACTCTCCAGAGGGGAGAGCAAAGCAGCAACTACCTGCGCTACCCACATCATTATTGTCTTTGTTATGCTTGTACTAGCTATATATACATTTACTGCTGGCCTTTCTACACGTTGCCTCTGGGCAAGGTAGTGGCTGTGTTCCACACCATGGTTTTTCCCCTTATCACCCCCATGATCTACACCCTGAGGAACAGGGAGATCTTCAGTGCCATGAAATGTTTGTTGGTGCACTACTTTCTGGAGAAAAGGAAACAGAAAGGAAATGCATTCATAAAGCACAGAATTACAGTATTCTTTTGTTTTGGAACAGTTTACAGGAGAGATTCATAGATTATCAATGGCCCAGAATAGTAGAGGTATTTCTTATAGATAAATATTGAATGTCATTGCCTTGCTTTGTCAGGTCTAAATATTACCAGTGCAGTGAGTATCATCAGATTTTTATAAATAAATAGACATAAATATCTGGGGTGTAAAATAAGTTACTGCAGTACAGTAGGTAGACAGCCTGTTTGTTCCTTTCTACTAGTGGATAACCAAATCAACATCAGAGCAAATAAGAACCAGGAAACATTTTTCTTCCAAGTACTGGGCATTAGTATAAAATGGGAAATCTAATTCTTGTCCCATGTAGTGAGAAAGTTAGGTTTGATTCTTCAGTAGAAATTTCCTTATAATAAACTTACTAACAATAAAGTAAGGACAGGCAGCAGATTTTAAAGATCTTTGAAAATCATATCTTGACTAATACCTGAATTGCATTCTTGGGACATGAGTGGAAAAGAGACAAGGAAAGGAAAATGGATCTACCTGAGGCCACAGTCCCATGGAGAGCTGTAGTGGTTTGAACCTTGTTCTCCCCAGAGGCTGAGAGAAGTGGTAGACCCCAAGGGGTGGAAACCCCTGGAAGTTTTGAAGTTCTGCCCAATGGGCGCTCCTGCAGAAATGTAAACATACCACAACCAGACCGGAAAAGAAGAGTTGTAGGTTTGGGTGGTAGGAGAGGTGGCCATGTTGTAGAGCCACGAGGAAGGGGCTCTGAGCCCCTTGGGGCCTCTGGCCCCCTCCCAGCCCTGGCTGGGGGGCTGCAGGGACCTGGAACAGCATAAAGCTGGGCTAGGCGCCTGTAGTATGCCGGGAGATGTTTTCTCCATGGGCACAGAGCAGCAGCCGACGCTGACCAGAGAAACAGTGGCAGAGAGCCAGAGATAAGACCTGAACTGAAGGAGCAGAGAAGCAACATGCAGCACCAGAGAAAAGACTCCTGGAAGGAGAGCCGAGGAAAGGAGAGCCAGCAACTGAGAGCTACAGAGTTCTTGGGGGTAAGACTGTACCACACTCCCCCAAAACTCCCTTGAGATCCCTCTTGGAGAAGAGGGACATGGACTCCTATTTTGGAGAGCAGTTTTAGACATGCAGCACCGGAGAGAGAGGAGCTGAGAAGCTCGGAGCGTCCCGCAGCTGGACCGGGACGGCCAGATGGAATGTGGGGGGGGCGACCTTGGCTTCCCCCCCTTGCACTGCTGCCACGGTGGCAGCCTGAGAGACAGGGCACAGAGGCCCTGCAAGGAGCTTGAATCTCCTGGAGATACCAGACCGTCACGAAGACCCCCCTGTGTCTTCGTGATATGACGTGGTGAAACGACCTTGTCTGGGGTTACGAAGACCACGGAAGACCCCTCGGTTGTGAGGCGATGGGGCCGAGAGTGGGGCTTGGATACCTCCCTCGTGGAGTGCTGGCAGAAAGCCAGCTATCAGCTGCTGCATGCATGAGAAGAAGAAACCTGCTGCCTCAGAAGATGCTGCTGTTTAAGGACTGAAAGGGATCTGTCCTTCTTTCCCTCCTGGACTTTTATTTGGAGGAGAGAAGAGATCTGATCCATTGTAAATACATATGTCATGGTAGAGATAGTTTGTGATCATGTGTATAATGTGATATGGTATTTATTTGTACAGTCATTGTAATATATTCCCTTTTCCCCACTTTGAGTCTAGTGTGTTTTGTCTGGAAAAACCCATCTCACATTAGGTTGAGATGTGGGAGGGGGAATGGAGCTAGGGAATTGGATGTTGGGGCTATCTCAAACCATGACAAGAGCTCAGCCCTGCACTTGGCCTCTAGAGCTGTTCCACAGCTCATGGGCACCCCCAGAGTGGCAGCAGAGCCTCTCTGCTCTCCATAGCAGGGCCTGCCCTGGACACAAAGGTGTAAGGCCAGGGATGGGGAGGCCCAGGATGAGGGACTATGGGGATCCTGTTTCTACAGTGAATGGGGCCTTCCATGAGGGCAGCACGCACCATAGCGGTGCCCGAGCTGAGCGCAGCACTGGGCTGCATCCGGACCTTCAGCCTGCCCAGGGAGTCCTGGAGCCCCATGATGGAATGTTGCCAGTAGAAGGCATAGCCCATTCTTGGGGAGCTTTGTCAGTGAACAATTATATTGAAGCAATTATATTAAAGCTAGCAAAACAATTATTAAGAGATTAGATCTTATTAGAGATCGATGTTACTCACTCCTACCAACAACCGTGGGCAAATCTATTTTGCTCAGCCTTGAGGAGTGACCTTGAGGGGCTTCCCCACTCAAAGGAAGGATCTACCTTAGGGAGGTATGCTAGAAGTCCTTGGTATGCAAAAGGGGGACTGGACTTTTATTGTATAAAGTGATTGACTATCAGTCATATACATCTTTAGATTATGTCTTTTCAGGCTTATTCAGTAATTTTACTTAACTTTCCTAATTAATTTTTTTAAGTACTCTTATTTTCCACCCTGTGATACCCCACTATAGCCAGCATTTAGTAAGGTTTTATCATAAGCTTCTATAGTGGGAATGCAGCTTGGGAAAATTACTGAAACTTTGAGTTTTGTTAAAAAAACTATAATCAACCTTGATATGCTTCAATGATCTCAGACCTGGGGAAGAGAGATATTGCTGAAATGGGACACAAGGAATGCAGAATTTATGTACCAAAAGGACATAAATTTTGCAGAACCCTGAGACAAAGAAGGAACTAACAAAGACAATTTGGCAATTGTACTGAAACCCTGTCTATCTGGGAGAAATAATGAAAGCACCTAAAACATGGACTAATAGCATGAGAAGCAAGAAATCAATAACTAAGATAGAATACTAATTAATGAACTGAATTATGCAATTTATAGCCCATGAACATTAATTTCTTTGTTTGATAAAATGTGTAAATTGTGAAAAGTTTTGAAGTTGCACACGCATCTTTAGAGGAGTGATCCCCCATGAAATAAAGTATTACCTGCTTCCTAGTACTAAAAATAGTATTTGAGAGTTTGATTTATCCTGCCTGACATTTTGGGCTCCAGTAGTGGGTCTGATAGTTTGGCCAAGCTGGTCTCAGCATTCTTCAACACTAAATCAGCAGACCCTCCTTGCTCACTCCTATCAGTGATCAGCAGACCATCCTTGCTCAAACCATCACTGACAAGTCATAAACAAGACACAGTTGGAGCTGCTATATCCCTGCTTAGGCAGAGCATCCAGCTCCAGCTGGCACAGCTCCCTGAGCAACACTTGACTGGCACCCTGTCACTTTACACTAGAAAAACCCTGTTCCCAGATTTTAATGGGAGGGACTTCTAACAGCTCCGTCTTGGACAGTGTGTGGGGATTCCTCCCTTGAGTGGGGACAGCCATCAAGGTTACTCCTTGAGCCTGAGAGAAAGCGATTTGCCCATGGCCCATGGCAGGGGTACCGTCAATCTCTACTTAATATTTGTTTTCTTAGCTTTAATATAATTGCTTCAACACTGCTTCCAAATACTGCACTATGTTTCTAGCTATAATTGTCTACAACGTGGAATAAATAATTCTGAGTACAGTATTTTAGTATTTATTATTTTAATATTTTAATAATATTTATTACACTATTACTAGCTATTGCTGAATATATATAACATGTAATAATGTATTAAAAAATATTACTTCTATGTATATTTCTATATTATATTTCTATATATATTTCTATATTTCTATATTTCTATATATACTTCTCTATATATATATATTCTATATTTCCATATATATTTCTATATTTCTAATAATATTTCTATATTATTATAACTATCATCTACTTAGCTAAATCATTCACTTAGGTCTGAGAAGGCGTGTCGAAAACAAGGATGCCTTCGCTAATAAACGCAGTGCTAGTCTTCCGTTCTGCTTGAGCCAGGGCCATAATCCAACGCCATCATTGCCAGAGTGCCCTGAATGCTTGTCTGACGTGAATCTCTGGGGCATGGAAACCCTCCTCTTCTTCTCTGAAGGGCGGTAGTCTGTGTACTGCACAAACTGGCTGTGGCAATCATAGCCCCGCCCTGTTGATCTTCTCTGCTCTCTCTGCCTCTGTGGGGTTTGCTCCCGAGCAGCCCGGAGCATGAGAGCCTGCTTGGAGCTGGCTTTGGAGGGCCCTGGAACTGCAGTATTCACTAAGACTTGGTCACAACGTGGAGGACTTGTTCTCTCCCTCTTTCTCTTCCGCAGTGAGCGGTCATAGTCTGTGTACTGCACAAACCGGCTGCGAAGGTTGTAAGTTCCCCGCACAGATCTGCTTGGCTCCCTCTGCCTCAGCAAGGTTTGCTCCTGAGCAGCCCTGGGAGCGGGAGCCCACCGGCAGATCCTCTTGGAAGGCCTGGCAGCTGTGCTATCCCTAGGACCACGGTCACGACTTGGAGGACCAGTTCTTCTCTCTGAAGAGTCATCATAGTCTGCGGTGTCCACAGACCAGCTGCGGAGATCCCTGCCCCACAGAGGGGATCTGCTCCGGGACCGCTCCCTGCCAGTGTACTTCATGCCCTGCAAAGAGAGCTGTGGAGAGTTCCTGCCCTTTTCTCCTGAAAGGATCAGAGCAGTGGGGAACCCCTACAAGTTCTGGGACAGGACAGTTTGGGGCCTCCAAAAGGCTCTTTTGGAGGGCTACTAAAACCAAAAGGCCAGAGGCGCACCAAAGGGATGGATCCAGGTGGGATGCTTTGAGAGGGAGCAGCGTTGTGGCTGTGAAGAAAGGTGCGGTGTGTGAGGGACAAAAGAGAAATGCTGAGATCCCAGAAAGAAATCCACTATTCCTCTGATGCCCTGACCCACGACCCCAAAGTTACCTTAGTCCTACCAGTCAGACCCTGTGGTCCAACAGAGCCCGCCTGCTTGCTGCTGGCCACACACTGGCTGAGGAAGGAAGGGGCATGTGATGGTGCCAGTGAGGAAGAAGGCCTTTCTCCAATTCTCAGATCAGAGCATCTGGAGAAAAACAAAAGAGTGATCTCAGTTTAGAGCTGTTGTTGCAACCTCCTCTGGGGTTCAGTCATTTTCTCAGAGAGGTTTCTATGACAGAGAGAAGACTTAACCAAGGACACTAATGGGAAACTCAGCTAGGGTCTTCCCACCAAGTTTGCCTCTGTCCCAATAAAAACCTCATCTCTATACCTCCCACAGCCTCCATTTCATAAATTCACAGATTTGTTTGGGTTGCAAGGGACCTTTAACTTTATCTTGTTCCACCCCGCTGTGGTGGGCAGGAACACCCTCCACTATTCCAAGGTTTCTCCAAGCCCTGTCCAACCTGGCCTTGAACACTTCCAGGGATGGGGCACCCACAGATGCTGTGGTAACCTGTGCCAGTGTCTCAGCACCCTTACAGCAAAGAATTCCTTCCCAATATCTAGTGTAAACCTGCCCTCTGTTAGCTGAAAACTGATAGCCTTCATCCTGTCGCTACATTCCCTGACAAATGGTGCCTCCCCATCTTTCCTGGAGGTCCTCTTTAAGTCCTCTTATCTACAAGAGTCAACATCAGAGACCAGGCAAGTAGCAGATTACATCCGGGCCGCAGCCTGAAGCCCAGTAAAGGACAGACACGGAGTAGTTCAGATTTGACAGCACTGAATGATGCAGGTAGTAATTTCATTTGATGAGAAAAACACTCAGGAAGGTGAGAAGCACAACTGCAAATGAGGAAAAGGAAATGTATTCTGAAGATATTTGAATCCTGGTTATTACCTGGCATAGAACAGCAGGTAGGCTTGCTGCCTGAGAACTGTGTCAATGGAACACAGCTCCACAGATTCATCGTCCATCCGGTACCACAATCCATTGCTGGCCTGTAAAAAAAAGGCAAGGATCTCTCCATGGTTTCTCTCCAAAAACACAGGTAGGAAACTGCCAAACCGAGAGCATGTCAAAACAAATGCAGTCCAGCCACTAAGGAGGCCTTCTGCCCCAAAACTTTGGCTGTCAGTAACACTGACAGGAAAGTTTATCTTCCCCAGCACACATTTTTCCCCATCGGGAAGGAAGTTGCTCTTTTACCTTTGTGTAGCAGAAATAGTGTCCTCCATGACAGCTGGCACCACTGTGCACCAGGACAGCATATAAGGAGTAGAGGAGTGGTTCTCCATCTGCCTGAGACATGTATGGGCGAAGATCCAAGTACTCCGGATACTCTACAACCTATGGAGAGACCAAGAGGGCTCAGAAATGACCCTGGTCTGTGACATGAAATAGCCTACCAAGTGCAGGGGCCAGTCCAGGTGTATCGATACATCTCTGGGGCTCATGAGCACTTGGTTTTCCATAAAGCAGCATATAATCGTTTGGGTGGCAGGAAACCGTTCTCAGTCAAAGCAGCCCTATCAGAGCACAGTGCTTGCCTGTCTTCCCACAGGAACTTTCCACTCCCCAGAAGGGACCACAAAAAACCCAACGCAAGCAGCTTGTGACAAGCATACTGCTTTAGGAAATCTGCTTCTTGAAGAGAAAGCTGCACACCAATAGTGTACACACCTTGCTGATCTTCCCACCAGTGAAGCAGTCAAATCTCTTCAGACACACAGTGAGAACCTTGGGTGCACAGTGGACAGTGAACCTCTTAGTGGCGGCAACATTCTTCTCACACCTTGAAACCAAGCACAGAGCACAGCGCTGAAATGCACCCTATCTTCCACCAAGGCAGTCAGACAACCTTTCTTGTCTCGTGCATCCTTATGCTATTTTAAGGCAATTCGCTGCCATATTTAAAACAAACAAACAAACAAACCAACCAACAAACAAACAACCCCAACCCCCCCCCCCAAAAAAAACACAGACAAAAACCCCTGTGTCTCATCAGTGTGCAGTAAACTTCCACGAGAAGATGACTTCTGCTCAATGACTTGTAGCCCCCTCACACAGAGTCTAGTGTTAATATGTTGTTAGTAATCATCTTACTTGCTACATTTAAAGCAGTTTTCACCATCCAGGTGCTCAGGTGTTACAAAGTCCTCCAGAGCTGCAGTGAGGGATGAGGCTGCCTGGAGAATTGAGAAATCGGTGCACTGAGCTACAGGAAATGCCCTCGCCCAAACATTTTCCAGGAGCTGACAAGAAAACCCCTGTAGCTGATGCTGAGGAGACCCGCCATGAATCTGCAAGCTGTATCCAGAAGGAGCCAGAAAGAGAGTGTGGTGCTGAACATTTCCCCTGTCCCAGAGGTTCTCAGGGGCAATCAAGAGCTCCCTCTCTGTACCACCTCCCATTGAGCTACTGACGTTATGTAGGGTCATCAGTAGTGAAAACAATCCAACCCATCAGCCTGGAAGCCAGACAGGTGTTGAAGGAGGGCAAAGGGAAGAAGGATGAGGATATGTCAAGGGTGCAGAGCGCATAATGGGTGCTTGTCCAGCTTCAAGCCAGCACCTACAGAGAGACCAGTGCCATGGCCTCCGCAGGAGGACAACATCCGTTCCCCTTCCCATCCACGACCAAGACCTCTGGTGTTCACAGTCTATGCTTTCAGGACAAATGTGTTGACTCTGAAAAGCCTTGCGATGTCTTGAAGCACAACTGCAAAACCTCTTACTTTGATATCCAAAGGGACATCCAGGAAAGCCTCATAGGAATCAGAAATGGCTTTGCAGCTGAAGCAGATGACTGGAAGGAAAAATCAAAATGCCGAGCAATGGTGAGTTGGACGATGGTACTGCTTTGTGCTCATTGTACCTGTCCTGCTAGTCCCAGGACCAGCTGTTGGGCACAGGCAGACAGAAGGGCACAGGCAGTGCCAAGGAGAGCAGTAGTTGTAGAAACATACCTCTGGATCTCAGAAAGCCTCCAAATATTTGATGGACAATGGTAGTAGATTGAGATGATATGTCCAAGCTGGAAACAAGTAGTAAGACAGAGCATTACTTCCTCCAAGCCCCGGCTGTAGGTTTTCCTTGATGAGGCCACATCAAGGAGTCCAAAGGGCTCAGAACTTTGTAAAGGTAACTTGCTTGTGCTTACTCGTTGCTTGCACCCAGACAAGCTCTCTGCATGGCATTGACAGTACAGCATAAGAAGTCATGGGCATCTTCCTCCCTGCCAAGCTGAAAATGTTCTCCTATGACTAAGAAACAGGAAGTTAGTAGTTGTCCCATGCAGGAAGGGAGAGAGGCAGCACCTGAAAGGCACTCCTTGCTGACCTATGAGCTGGTGCCGTGGGCTCTACAACTGCTGCCTGCAGTCAGCTTGGAAGCTCTGGCAGTTTTAACAGGAGGTTTGTCTGCAAACAAGATGGAGAGACATTACGATGATGGATGCGGGTATATTCCTGACCTAGGCTCTCCAGAGGGAGATTTGCTGTCTCCTCATGGGCCATAGAGGCTTTTAATACGGGATGAACTTCACTTTGTCTCCCCAAGCTCATGTCCAGCCTGTTCCATGGCCTCTGACTGCGATCTGCTGTCCACCTAGCTTCATCCCCCCTCACAACCCTGGGGACTCCTTGGAGATGAATGGCTGCCGTGCCAGCACCTGCTGCTCCAGGAAGGGAGTGCAAGGTGAAGATGCTACACTCGCAGGTGCAAAGAAGGTTCATTTTGCCATGGGATCCCGGGAGGTCACCATGCACATCGTCAATGGGGTCTGAAAAAAGAAAACTTACAGATGTTGAGGCAGCTGAGCTCATCAAGCACATGTAGAAAAGCTCCTGATTTCAGTATGGCTGGCTCTTTTGAAATGCCCCAGGAAGGAAGATTTGGTCTCAGGCATCATCAGCCTCATTGGCCAGTCTAGAGAGAACTGCCTGGACTTGAATCAGAAGTCTGTGGATAAGAGATTTAGCTTCATTTAGCTAGAAATGGGATATCTCTCTCCAGTGAGCCAGCTGCTTGCCATTCCGTTAGTCCCTGACCACAAGCAGCACTGAATCTGTGATCTCTCCCCCTCCAGTTTCTCAGAGTCCCTGGGTAACCCTGAAAGCACTGCTTCAGTATCAGGTTCTGCAAGAGGCCTTCAAAAAAGCAGCTAGGGGATTAGGTGAGGGGAAGAACCAGAAAATCGCACGCATTCCTCCCTGGATTCGTGAAAGACAATAAGAAAGGAATACAAGACCCCCAAAAGCAAGTCCACTTGATGGGAGCGGCAGGTGAGCATCTCTGGTTCAGTAGTGATACGATGCACTCAACTGCAGCTTGCAGACAAGAATCCTGAACCATTCCAGTAGCCAAGATTGCCACCTGATCCCAAGGTCCCCTGTCCTCTGCCCCATGCATTTCCACGGGACCAAAGCCCCTATGCACAGCAAAAGGAAAGTATGTGAATGTACGCACACGGTAACTTGCTCCTGGCCTTTTCAGCCTATGGAGGAAGACAACTTCCCTCATTAGAAAATGAAGCAGGTCTGACCTGGACTTTCTCAAAACACTCTAAAGCCAGAGGCAGGTTTCTCCCACAAGCGACAGCAAAGCCCTCCTCCTGCCCATGTTGTTTGGGAAATGGCACAAGAACCAGGAGAATCACAGAGAGATTCACACCTTCAGAGACACCAGTGAGTGCAGCCCCTCCTGACATCATCCGGGCAGAAGCCTCCAGCCCTTGGGATGACTTTGCCTCCTAACAGAGGTGCCAGAGCATCTGATCTGGATTTACCAGGCCTGCCTTAGTACCATGCCACAATAATTGTTGCAGCATCCCAGCCTTTCCTTGCTCGAGCCAGTCTGTTTATAGGTTGTTTGGATCTCCACCTCCACATTGCAGGGGGATTGAACACCACTGATCACATCCACTTCTACCTCTGACCTGAAGGGAGAGGAAGATTTCCCCGTTTGCTGTTGTGGCAAGTGGCGCCTCTCTGCAAGAGATTTCATCTCCTGCTCGGGGCCCCTCTGCACTGGCCAGGCTCACTCCATGCTGCTGGACCTCTCCCAGCCCCTCTAAGCAGGGCTCCGGTCAAGTCTTTGTAACAACTCCCCATTCCTCAAAATAGCTTGGCACTCCTGTAGCAGTTTGGGTGGGGAATGCCAAACTCACACCAACTAATGGCTCTGTCCAATCACCTGAGGAGTAGCAGGTACCACCCAGTGCGGAGGTCAGCGCTTGAATAAAGACCTCCACAACTTTTCTGGGTGCAGCTGGTAAGGCGATTTTATTATAAAGGTAGCGGGGCAACTGAACTGCTTAAAGGGAGGAACAAAAGGGCACAAAAAGCACTGCGCAAAATGGCTCCAGCCTTAAATAACACGGGTAAGGAAGGCGCTGGAACAGAAGATGGGGTTTGGGCGGAGCATGCAAATTACAACCAATCATAGGAGATGGGGGCTGAACATAACCGTATAGGGTACTGCGTCAAATATCAACCAACGAAAGGACAGAACATACAGACGGTACAATACAATACAACAACTTATATGCAAAATCTACAATTTCCTTATAATTACACATTTTTAGACTGCCACAACCCAGCCTGCCCCATGCAGAGCCCTGCGGGTGGCTCCTGCTACGCCCAATGCCAAAAGAACACCACAGGAGACCCTGGGGAGGGAAGAAGGGAAGGAAAGAAGGAAATCTCAGTGCTTTGGATCTGGAGCAGCTGGGGGAACTCCAGTGCCTCCCAAGACGCCCTGTCAGACACGTGAGGAACTGCAGAGTCGAGAGCTCTCCCCACGCACCCCTACAGCCCGCTCCGAAATAAATACCATTGACTGCCCAAGGAAGGTCCCCTTCAGAGTAGCGACACGATCCCCGTAGCCCCTTGCTCTGGATTCCCCCGCCCATTCCCGGCCTCACCCCTCTGTGCCCAGAGCCCACTAGCTTTGAGCTACAGGGAGCAGAGGGGCTCTGTTGCCACCCTGTCAGGCGGCGTGAGCTGTAGAACAGCTCCAGTGGCCAAGTGCAGGGCTGAGCTCTCCATGGGACTGTGTCTGGCTTCAGGCAGTTTTCTGACTGGGAATGGGACTATTCTAGCCCAAAGGGAGCAATCAGGATCCAACATCTGTTTTGTTTAAGGCTATCAGGAGCCTTCTTGGTCGCTTATCCTTTGATTTTTCTCCAAATCTTGAAGTGGTTTTGATGAGGTACAAAAATGAGGTGCAGAAAGCATACCTTCCTCCCCCATAGACACAGTTTCCCCTCAGATCAGGGGGATCAGACCAAATCTCTGGTGGGAGCTGTTTTATTAAGCTTGTCAGACCTTGAGCATCAGGGGAGCTGTGTACAGCTCGTGGCAGCAGGTGCTGGGGCCTTGGCCAGTGTCACCTGGAAGGGGAAAGGAGGAAAGGGGACCAGCACGGATCCCTGCTGCCCTGCATATCCCCTGAGCCAAGGGACACTTATGGACAGTTGTTCTGCACCTCCCCCTGTCCCCTTTTGGTCAGGGCTATCACCTGACACTGCGGTGACAGACGGGTTCATCAGGATATCCTTGGCAGAATGATGATGGCACTGAGTCATAGTTGCAATTAAAGCTTCATTTTTTTTAACATCATGGTATGATCACTATAGCCCAGAATACCATGATTTGAGTAGCACAAGATTTCTATCAGCAGCACCAGCATAGCAAGATTTTGTAAGCCCTTTAGCACCGAATTGTACAGCACAGCTCAGCTTATGATGCCTGATCACCTGGACCTGATCACTCTGCAGGCCAGGGCACATCCTAATCCTTGGTTTGTCATGTCAATATAACAATCTTAATCTAGACTTGAAACACGTTAACAGAACATGAGTGGCCCTTTCAGGGGAGAAGAGTCTGTTTGGTATTAAGATGGGGCTCTGTGTGCTGCTGTGCTGCCCTGTGCTGCTGTGAGGCCATCACAGCCTGGCAGGCCTGTGAGGAGCAAAGGAGTCGGCCTGGTGCCTGGAAACGTGAAGGCTGATAGGGAGGGGGAGAAGGGGTCTTCCTGGCGCACTGGACCTTCAGGGACTGACGATGAGGGCAAAGGGGACTCATGTAGGACCAGCTTGGTCACAGAGCACAGCTGTTTACGTCCTAAAATGCCCCCATATGAGCAGGAGGCAGGAGCAGAGGCACTGTTCACGAGTGCCACTGTTGATTGTCTTCATCAGAGAGCTCCTGAAGTGCTGCTGGGAGGACGGTAATACAGGACCTAGACATCAGGTTAGGGCAGGGGCATAAAAAGTCACCTGAGAGGTGTAATGCAGGAGTAAATGCAGAGACTTTGTCTGGGTAAGGGATACAAGGAGCCTCCCCAAGGATGACAGGGATAAAACCAGCTGCTGCAAGACGTGATGAAAAAAGCCATCCAAGCAAAGTCATGCCCTAGCTGGATGCCCCAAGTATAAAAGAAGAAACACCTCGGAGTGGAGCAGGAGCCGTATGAACTGTGCTGAGCTGGGCAGGAGTAAAACCACCTGTCCTGAGAAGAACTGAGTAAAACTTGATGCCCCATTCCAGGCAGGGGCCAAACCAGCCAGTTCAAGTGTTGTTAAATAACAACCAGCTGCATCCTTGGAGCATGAGAAACACTATCTGCCTGCTGAGCAGAGGTTACACCAGGTGTCCAGAGGACTGCCTGTTGCTAAATACCTCTGAAACTGTCGGGATAAATAGGACCCTCTAGCAAATTGGCTTTTTAGTGTTAGAAAGCAAGTGATTACTTTTATTTGCAGCCCTGGGTGTGCATGTGGCTGGCAAAAATCCTGCCTCCATACTGACAGCAAGACATCGCTTTTCACCTATTTATACAGATTTGGCAAACAAAGAAATTAATGTTCATTGCTTCCAAATTACATCACTCGCTCCCTTTCATTAATTAGTGTTCTATGTGGTATTGGTTATTAATTTCTCACTTTCTACTGTAATAACTTCATATCTTTTTTGTATATTTTCCCTCCCCTAGGGATTTTCTGACACAAATGCTGAGCCTTTGTTAGTCTTCTTCTTTATCTGCTGGTTTCTGCAGAAGGTCCTTGTAGTCCATAAATCTTGTGTTCCAGATCTCCTCCTTCAACAGGACATCTTTCTCTGGCAGGCTTTCTCCACTGAAGCATAACAGGGTTAACTTCAACAAAACTTACAGGTTTAGTACTTTTCCCAGGCTGTGTTCTCACACAGGAGCTTATGACAATTTTTACTCCATGCTGGCTAAAGTTGATTTAAGGCTGAACGCACCGCCTACGATGTGTGTTAAAAACAACTAATCAAAAAGTTAATCAGGAACACTAAAAAAATTAGAAAAGTTTTATGGTTTCCAACAAGCCCAAAACAACATAGGCCAAGTGCAGCAGGGACAAAACTGTCTCTATCCATTGATGCCAGGAAAAGGCAACAGTAGTAAAACTCAATAGCCACAGGTGCTATTAAGCTGGTATTTCTTTATTTCGGCGCCGGACGTGCGGGGGACAGCTCCGCCTAACACGCGCGTGCCCTCGCCCATCGTAGCTTCCGTTTTATACAATTAGGTCATACAGATTCATTGCACATTTTTACATCTTCATGAACTACCCGAGAGTGGGCAGTGTTCTATGTAAATCTCGGGACACGCCTCCTGGAGCCTGCGCACTTCTCTCTGGTGGATGTCTCGGGTGGTCGTAAGGGATGAAGGCTCAAAGTCTTCCTCTCTCTGAACTTCTCACCTCACTCAGTCCCTCAGCATCTTCCCCTGGCAACGGCTCCTCATGGGCTGCCCGTCCACTCGGTGTCCCATTGGTTGCCTACGGGTTACCCTTTGCTCCACTGCACACTTTCCCACTGGCTGCCCCTTCGCACCATCACACAGCTTTCCCATTGGCTGCCTCTGGGCAACTCCCCACTGGCTGCTCACCAGCACATGGCCGCTATCTTAGCAACAGCGCACGAACCTTAAAATTTCACTTATTAGACTGTGCAGCTTAAAATTTTCCCTTATCAATAGCAGCGGAACAGTTTCTCAATAGCGACTTAACATTTTCCCTTATCACCATCCAGAGTGGGAGTCTGGCTAAAGTTGCGGCTGATCAAAACCTAACCAACCCTAGCGGCAGGAGTAAATGTGAAGCTGCTAAAAAGCCATCCAGGAACGTTTTCAGAGCTTGAGGACAAGACAGCAGCTGGGTGGGGGCCAGCAGCCAGCCAAGGTCCTCCCAGCGCAGCCTCTGAAGGGCTCCTTTGGCAGTCCCAGTTCAGGGTCAGCCCATGGCTGTACCCTGGGGGCAGATGAAATTAATTGGAAATGAACCCATAAGAGTCCAGGTGCTGATAGAAGTGGAAGTGAAACCCTCAGCGTCTTGGGGGTCAGAAAAGCTGTGACCTGGCTCAGTTACAGCCCTGAACAGGCTTTTACTCATCAGGCCGTGTGGCTCAGGGAAGGTGTGGGAGCTCTGTCAGAGGACGACTAGCCCTTTGCCACCAGCATGGGGGGAGGTCCAGTGGCTTCCACCTGGCGGACGTGCCATGTGGGTTCCTGTGCCCAAGAACCATGTGGTTCCATGTGGTTCCCTGTGGTTCCATGTGACCCCATGTCACAAAGGGGCAGAGAAGTGGCACCCATCCGGTATCCTGAGGAGCGCGCCAACGAAAATCAGTTGGACAGAGTTGGCCTTCGGGATAACTCAGCTCCTTCCTTTGCTACTTGTGTGCCTGCCTTTTTTGGATGGTTTATTGTTTACTGACCATTTCTCCTCAACTTTCATCCTCTTTCAAAGGTAATGCTTTGACTTTTGGCACAGATCACAGAGCAGGGTATATGGGATAAAAGTATAGGCTGATTTATACCTTCCCAGCTGTAGGCTGAGCTGTTACAACTTTTATAGGCTGGCCAGGTATGACCTAGGCTAGAATTCCAGTTTGCTGGTTCTTGGATTTTTTCCATAGCCTAGGATAGGTAAGCGGGGAGGTGACTGTAGTCTGAGGGGATGGGCTCAGCCCACCTTGATTGCTGTGGGAGGGAGGGAGACAGAAAAAGGAGAGCAGCAAAGGCAGCAGTTAAAGTAGTGGCTGAAAGATGGTCACTCCTAGGAGGTGGGAAAGCCAGAGGGCTCTGTTGCTGAAGCAGTGTCAGGAGAGCAGCAGGGCCTCTTCAGAGAAGGTAACATACATTGGAGCATTTCAAAAGGGCCTTTGAACCTGCTGTGAGTTGGTGCCCCGCGACTGATCATAAGGGCGTGAGCTGCAGCTCAGCAGCAGTTACAAGCACCACTGAAAGGCTTGGTGGTGGATGCCGTTCTGCGTTTATTTAGAGTTTTGATACTTTCGGTGAGCTACAGTAATTTCTTTGCAATTAGGTGACGGGATTGGTGCTGTTCTCTTTCTGGAGAGAAAGACATCCTTGGTCATCTAAAGCATTGCACTCTCCTCCTGAGAGAGGCAATGGCCACAGCAGGGAACGACTCCTGTGAGTAACAGCTTCACCAGCAGGTTTGGACTTTGTGAACTGCCACAGACAACTGACATGGCTGGTGGTCACATCCCAGAATGATGTGCTCACAACCTAGAGTGATCTCTGGGGTGTTTCCTGAGAGCAGTCAAACTGACCCCCGTGTTTACAATTAGACCCAGGAAAACACCTTTTGTCACTCCTCTGACACTAGGTACAAGACTTTGAAAGCTGCCATTGCTCGTAGAGAGGTCTGCCATCCTTTGGGTTACCTTCCGTGCTCAGTATTTACTTGTTTTCAACAAGTTACAATCAGGAAAAGGGATGGCTTCACTGATAATCCAGTCTAGAACTCTACTGAGAAAGGAAGGTAGCCTGCCGCCCAGAAATCAGATTGTGGGTTTGTTGGACTCTCAGCAACGTAAACGGGGGAATGGATTTTTCCAAAACAGTAAATTTAAATGGCACTGTTTAAGCTTCCCCTGATGTTGTTGGGTTGGCAGTTAAAGCAGATGGTCCTGAGTGCTCCTGTAGAGACCTCACTGTTTAAATATGCCTTTGTGCCTCATTTCATCTCTTTTCAAATGGAATTTCCCTGCAGCCATTGCCGAGGGAATGACTCCGCCACAGAGGATCCTCTTTCCCCCCGAGAAGATTTGCATGGTCTGGCAGCAAAGACAGAGTGCTGGAGCAGGACTCCGCAATGTGGGCAACACATGCTACCTTAATGCTGTCCTGCAATGCCTGACATACACCCCGCCGCTGGCCAACTATCTGCTCTCCCGCGAGCACAGCCAGGCCTGTGAGTACTCTTAGGGACATCTCCTTGTAAAGCTGTTAATCGAATCCCAAGGATTCCCAGAACCTGAAATTTGATTTAGGAGAAAAGCAGCCCTTTGTCAGCCCCAGAACTTGTGTTCTTTGTACACTCAGGAGCCACCTGTCCTATCCAGCTGTCTTATTCTTCATGAAGGCACATCTTTCTAGCTCTGGGTCACTATTCCTGCAAGTTAAAACCTCAGTTTAGCATTCCTCTGAAGAACATTTTCTATGCACTGAAACGTCCCGTGCCTGTTGAAACACTGGGAGGAGTGGCATATTGCACTGGAGTGGGAGTGGAAGAAGAGGAGTATTCCACCACTAGGGATATTTTGCTAACCAGAGGACCTTCTCTCCCTCCCTCCTCAGGTCGCCAACAAGGCTTCTGCATGATGTGCATCATGGAAGCGCATGTTAACAAGGTCCTGCGTTCCTCAGTCAGTGCCATCCTGCCTTTGGCTGTTCTCAGGGGTTTCAGATGTATGTGATTTCAGGTTCTTTGACAGGTTTTCTTCCCTTCCTGTAGGAGACAACTACTAACTTCCTGTTTCTTAGTCATAGGAGAACATTTTCAGCTTGGCAGGGAGGAAGATGCCCATGACTTCCTTTGCTGTACTGTCAATGCCATGCAGAGAGCTTGTCTGGGTGCAAGCAACGAGTAAGCACAAGCAAGTTACCTTTACAAAGTTCTGAGCCCTTTGGACTCCTTGATGTGGCCTCATCAAGGAAAACCTACAGCCGGGGCTTGGAGGAAGTAATGCTCTGTCTTACTACTTGTTTCCAGCTTGGACATATCATCTCAATCTACTACCATTGTCCATCAAATATTTGGAGGCTTTCTGAGATCCAGAGGTATGTTTCTACAACTACTGCTCTCCTTGGCACTGCCTGTGCCCTTCTGTCTGCCTGTGCCCAACAGCTGGTCCTGGGACTAGCAGGACAGGTACAATGAGCACAAAGCAGTACCATCGTCCAACTCACCATTGCTCGGCATTTTGATTTTTCCTTCCAGTCACCTGCTTCAGCTGCAAAGCCATTTCTGATTCCTATGAGGCCTTCCTGGATGTCCCTTTGGATATCAAAGTAAGAGGTTTTGCAGTTGTGCTTCAAGACATCGCAAGGCTTTTCAGAGTCAACACATTTGTCCTGAAAGCATAGACTGTGAACACCAGAGGTCTTGGTCGTGGATGGGAAGGGGAACGGATGTTGTCCTCCTGCGGAGGCCATGGCACTGGTCTCTCTGTAGGTGCTGGCTTGAAGCTGGACAAGCACCCATTATGCGCTCTGCACCCTTGACATATCCTCATCCTTCTTCCCTTTGCCCTCCTTCAACACCTGTCTGGCTTCCAGGCTGATGGGTTGGATTGTTTTCACTACTGATGACCCTACATAACGTCAGTAGCTCAATGGGAGGTGGTACAGAGAGGGAGCTCTTGATTGCCCCTGAGAACCTCTGGGACAGGGGAAATGTTCAGCACCACACTCTCTTTCTGGCTCCTTCTGGATACAGCTTGCAGATTCATGGCGGGTCTCCTCAGCATCAGCTACAGGGGTTTTCTTGTCAGCTCCTGGAAAATGTTTGGGCGAGGGCATTTCCTGTAGCTCAGTGCACCGATTTCTCAATTCTCCAGGCAGCCTCATCCCTCACTGCAGCTCTGGAGGACTTTGTAACACCTGAGCACCTGGATGGTGAAAACTGCTTTAAATGTAGCAAGTAAGATGATTACTAACAACATATTAACACTAGACTCTGTGTGAGGGGGCTACAAGTCATTGAGCAGAAGTCATCTTCTCGTGGAAGTTTACTGCACACTGATGAGACACAGGGGTTTTTGTCTGTGTTTTTTTTTTGGGGGGGGGGGTTGGGGTTGTTTGTTTGTTGGTTGGTTTGTTTGTTTGTTTGTTTTAAATATGGCAGCGAATTGCCTTAAAATAGCATAAGGATGCACGAGACAAGAAAGGTTGTCTGACTGCCTTGGTGGAAGATAGGGTGCATTTCAGCGCTGTGCTCTGTGCTTGGTTTCAAGGTGTGAGAAGAATGTTGCCGCCACTAAGAGGTTCACTGTCCACTGTGCACCCAAGGTTCTCACTGTGTGTCTGAAGAGGTTTGACTGCTTCACTGGTGGGAAGATCAGCAAGGTGTGTACACTATTGGTGTGCAGCTTTCTCTTCAAGAAGCAGATTTCCTAAAGCAGTATGCTTGTCACAAGCTGCTTGCGTTGGGTTTTTTGTGGTCCCTTCTGGGGAGTGGAAAGTTCCTGTGGGAAGACAGGCAAGCACTGTGCTCTGATAGGGCTGCTTTGACTGAGAACGGTTTCCTGCCACCCAAACGATTATATGCTGCTTTATGGAAAACCAAGTGCTCATGAGCCCCAGAGATGTATCGATACACCTGGACTGGCCCCTGCACTTGGTAGGCTATTTCATGTCACAGACCAGGGTCATTTCTGAGCCCTCTTGGTCTCTCCATAGGTTGTAGAGTATCCGGAGTACTTGGATCTTCGCCCATACATGTCTCAGGCAGATGGAGAACCACTCCTCTACTCCTTATATGCTGTCCTGGTGCACAGTGGTGCCAGCTGTCATGGAGGACACTATTTCTGCTACACAAAGGTAAAAGAGCAACTTCCTTCCCGATGGGGAAAAATGTGTGCTGGGGAAGATAAACTTTCCTGTCAGTGTTACTGACAGCCAAAGTTTTGGGGCAGAAGGCCTCCTTAGTGGCTGGACTGCATTTGTTTTGACATGCTCTCGGTTTGGCAGTTTCCTACCTGTGTTTTTGGAGAGAAACCATGGAGAGATCCTTGCCTTTTTTTTACAGGCCAGCAATGGATTGTGGTACCGGATGGACGATGAATCTGTGGAGCTGTGTTCCATTGACACAGTTCTCAGGCAGCAAGCCTACCTGCTGTTCTATGCCAGGTAATAACCAGGATTCAAATATCTTCAGAATACATTTCCTTTTCCTCATTTGCAGTTGTGCTTCTCACCTTCCTGAGTGTTTTTCTCATCAAATGAAATTACTACCTGCATCATTCAGTGCTGTCAAATCTGAACTACTCCGTGTCTGTCCTTTACTGGGCTTCAGGCTGCGGCCCGGATGTAATCTGCTACTTGCCTGGTCTCTGATGTTGACTCTTGTAGATAAGAGGACTTAAAGAGGACCTCCAGGAAAGATGGGGAGGCACCATTTGTCAGGGAATGTAGCGACAGGATGAAGGCTATCAGTTTTCAGCTAACAGAGGGCAGGTTTACACTAGATATTGGGAAGGAATTCTTTGCTGTAAGGGTGCTGAGACACTGGCACAGGTTACCACAGCATCTGTGGGTGCCCCATCCCTGGAAGTGTTCAAGGCCAGGTTGGACAGGGCTTGGAGAAACCTTGGAATAGTGGAGGGTGTTCCTGCCCACCACAGCGGGGTGGAACAAGATAAAGTTAAAGGTCCCTTGCAACCCAAACAAATCTGTGAATTTATGAAATGGAGGCTGTGGGAGGTATAGAGATGAGGTTTTTATTGGGACAGAGGCAAACTTGGTGGGAAGACCCTAGCTGAGTTTCCCATTAGTGTCCTTGGTTAAGTCTTCTCTCTGTCATAGAAACCTCTCTGAGAAAATGACTGAACCCCAGAGGAGGTTGCAACAACAGCTCTAAACTGAGATCACTCTTTTGTTTTTCTCCAGATGCTCTGATCTGAGAATTGGAGAAAGGCCTTCTTCCTCACTGGCACCATCACATGCCCCTTCCTTCCTCAGCCAGTGTGTGGCCAGCAGCAAGCAGGCGGGCTCTGTTGGACCACAGGGTCTGACTGGTAGGACTAAGGTAACTTTGGGGTCGTGGGTCAGGGCATCAGAGGAATAGTGGATTTCTTTCTGGGATCTCAGCATTTCTCTTTTGTCCCTCACACACCGCACCTTTCTTCACAGCCACAACGCTGCTCCCTCTCAAAGCATCCCACCTGGATCCATCCCTTTGGTGCGCCTCTGGCCTTTTGGTTTTAGTAGCCCTCCAAAAGAGCCTTTTGGAGGCCCCAAACTGTCCTGTCCCAGAACTTGTAGGGGTTCCCCACTGCTCTGATCCTTTCAGGAGAAAAGGGCAGGAACTCTCCACAGCTCTCTTTGCAGGGCATGAAGTACACTGGCAGGGAGCGGTCCCGGAGCAGATCCCCTCTGTGGGGCAGGGATCTCCGCAGCTGGTCTGTGGACACCGCAGACTATGATGACTCTTCAGAGAGAAGAACTGGTCCTCCAAGTCGTGACCGTGGTCCTAGGGATAGCACAGCTGCCAGGCCTTCCAAGAGGATCTGCCGGTGGGCTCCCGCTCCCAGGGCTGCTCAGGAGCAAACCTTGCTGAGGCAGAGGGAGCCAAGCAGATCTGTGCAGGGAACTTACAACCTTTGCATGAAGTACACTGGCAGGGAGCGGTCCCGGAGCAGATCCCCTCTGTGGGGCAGGGATCTCCGCAGCTGGTCTGTGGACACCGCAGACTATGATGACTCTTCAGAGAGAAGAACTGGTCCTCCAAGTCGTGACCGTGGTCCTAGGGATAGCACAGCTGCCAGGCCTTCCAAGAGGATCTGCCGGTGGGCTCCCGCTCCCAGGGCTGCTCAGGAGCAAACCTTGCTGAGGCAGAGGGAGCCAAGCAGATCTGTGCGGGGAACTTACAACCTTCGCAGCCGGTTTGTGCAGTACACAGACTATGACCGCTCACTGCGGAAGAGAAAGAGGGAGAGAACAAGTCCTCCACGTTGTGACCAAGTCTTAGTGAATACTGCAGTTCCAGGGCCCTCCAAAGCCAGCTCCAAGCAGGCTCTCATGCTCCGGGCTGCTCGGGAGCAAACCCCACAGAGGCAGAGAGAGCAGAGAAGATCAACAGGGCGGGGCTATGATTGCCACAGCCAGTTTGTGCAGTACACAGACTACCGCCCTTCAGAGAAGAAGAGGAGGGTTTCCATGCCCCAGAGATTCACGTCAGACAAGCATTCAGGGCACTCTGGCAATGATGGCGTTGGATTATGGCCCTGGCTCAAGCAGAACGGAAGACTAGCACTGCGTTTATTAGCGAAGGCATCCTTGTTTTCGACACGCCTTCTCAGACCTAAGTGAATGATTTAGCTAAGTAGATGATAGTTATAATAATATAGAAATATTATTAGAAATATAGAAATATATATGGAAATTTAGAATATATATAGAGAGAGAAGTATATATAGAAATATAGAAATATATATAGAAATATAGAATATAGAGAGAGAGAAGTATATATAGAAATATAGAAATATATATAGAAATATAATATAGAAATATACATAGAAGTAATATTTTATAATACATTATTACATGTTATATATATTCAGCAATAGATAGTAATGTTATAATAAATATTATTAAAATAATAAATACTAAAATACTGTACTCAGAATTATTTATTCCACGTTGTAGACAATTATAGCCACAAACATCTCAGCCTCGGCCATATCAATCAACATAACTGGTCTACTCTGGCCTCAAATCGGGAGGCCTGGAGACACACCATCTATAACGCTGCTGTTTCCTTTGAGAACGCACGCAGAATCCCTCTCGAGGAGAAAAGACAAGGGAGAAAGAATCATGTCTTGCAGAATATACCACCTAGGGAGTCTTTCTGCTGTGCCTTTTGCAATCGGATATGTCTATCTCGCATTGGCCTCCTAAGCCACCAGCGTGCTTGTAACAAATGTGGATAGAGCCTTGTTAAATCTTCGTTCGCGAAGCCTAGCCACGATGATGTGTTTAAGACGGGCGTTCCATAATTTAGTGTTCTCACTGAAACCATGCAAATCGTGCGCCACTCGCTCACTTCCCACTCCTCCTTCCCTTCCCACTCCCCCTCCATCCTGAGGCAGGCTGGACGGGAGAATTGGAGGCACAAAAGGTAAAGATCGCAGGCTGAGACAAGAACAATTTACTGGAAACGGCAATGAAATAAGAAAACAGTACAGCAACACAACAGTAACAGAAACAATACTAATAACCGAGTGTACAAGGGAGGCAAATGACTCACGCATGATTGCTCACCAGTTGGTGCCCAACTTTGCCACCACGCACACAACCTGGAAGAGACCCCTTCCCCCATCCTTGACAAAATGAGGAATAACCTCTATGTCCTGGCTGTGCCCCCTCCTGGATACTGCCAGAATTAACACTGTCCTGACCAGAAGCAGGACAATCACCTTCAGGATCTGCAGCACAGCTTTCGGCTCTGCACCGGAGGCACTGGATCCCTCCAGGCCAGGGAGGGGAGACATCAGAGATGAGCAGACTTTGGAAATCCCTCACCTCTCACTCCGGCCCATTTTTTCTCATTTTATGGGATGGAAGAATACATACCCAACTCCTCCCAGTGTCCTTCTCACTGGAAATCCCCTGAGCTTTGATTCCTTTGCTGACATGCTGCTTCCTCTGGGAAAAGCAGTCAGAAAACCCAAGGCCATTGCTTTGAGTGAAGGTCTTTCTTAGAACACTTTTCCTGAAGTGCACCCAGGAAGGCTGGGCTGCAGCAGCACATGGCCCCCATGGCTTTGCTACATCTCCTCCAGAACACCTGGAAGCCCTTCTCTCACCATCCAGCCGCTCCCCTGCCCTGTCTTCCCCACCCCACAGGGATGCTGCAGAGGAGTTAACAAACTTCACAGTTCAATCCTGATATCCCACTGCTGACTGGGATGGGGTGAGACCAGGGGCAGTTTTGGCCCCCATCAGCACCAGCTCTTGGGACAGCCAGGCTCTCTCCTGACATGTGGGCTCATCTCTGCAGCTTTGCTGTCCTCCACAGGGCGTTTGCTGAAAAAAATCATCTTCCAGAAAAGACATATGACACGAGCCCAGGGGTCAGCAGCACCACACGAGAGCTTGGCAAGATGCCCTGAGGACAGCCAGGCCAGGCAGAGAGAGGTGGAAGGACCACAGGGGCTCTCTGAAGCAGCCCCATTGTACAACGTAGACAATGAGGCTAAATAAACACTGGGATGAAAGATGATAGTGCTCTTACAAGGGAAATTTACAGCTGCTGTACAGGCCTGGGGCTCTTGCTGGAAAGCTTCAGTCTCTGGGCTCCCGGTGCCCAAAGGCATTGCAGATAACTCCTTCTCAAGCAACGGCAGGGAGCAGGGTGGAGAAGTCAAGGATGAGGCAGATCAGAAAGACTGGGGCAGCACAAAGAGATCTACAAGGGAGAGAGGCAGCACCTGAAAGGCACTCCTTGCTGACCTATGAGCTGGTGCCGTGGGCTCTACAACTGCTGCCTGCAGTCAGCTTGGAAGCTCTGGCGGTTTTAACAGGAGGTTTGTCTGCAAACAAGATGGAGAGACATTACGATGATGGATGCGGGTATATTCCTGACCTAGGCTCTCCAGAGGGAGATTTGCTGTCTCCTCATGGGCCATAGAGGCTTTTAATACGGGATGAACTTCACTTTGTCTCCCCAAGCTCATGTCCAGCCTGTTCCATGGCCTCTGACTGCGATCTGCTGTCCACCTAGCTTCATCCCCCCTCACAACCCTGGGGACTCCTTGGAGATGAATGGCTGCCGTGCCAGCACCTGCTGCTCCAGGAAGGGAGTGCAAGGTGAAGATGCTACACTCGCAGGTGCAAAGAAGGTTCATTTTGCCATGGGATCCCGGGAGGTCACCATGCACATCGTCAATGGGGTCTGAAAAAAGAAAACTTACAGATGTTGAGGCAGCTGAGCTCATCAAGCACATGTAGAAAAGCTCCTGATTTCAGTATGGCTGGCTCTTTTGAAATGCCCCAGGAAGGAAGATTTGGTCTCAGGCATCATCAGCCTCATTGGCCAGTCTAGAGAGAACTGCCTGGACTTGAATCAGAAGTCTGTGGATAAGAGATTTAGCTTCATTTAGCTAGAAATGGGATATCTCTCTCCAGTGAGCCAGCTGCTTGCCATTCCGTTAGTCCCTGACCACAAGCAGCACTGAATCTGTGATCTCTCCCCCTCCAGTTTCTCAGAGTCCCTGGGTAACCCTGAAAGCACTGCTTCAGTATCAGGTTCTGCAAGAGGCCTTCAAAAAAGCAGCTAGGGGATTAGGTGAGGGGAAGAACCAGAAAATCGCACGCATTCCTCCCTGGATTCGTGAAAGACAATAAGAAAGGAATACAAGACCCCCAAAAGCAAGTCCACTTGATGGGAGCGGCAGGTGAGCATCTCTGGTTCAGTAGTGATACGATGCACTCAACTGCAGCTTGCAGACAAGAATCCTGAACCATTCCAGTAGCCAAGATTGCCACCTGATCCCAAGGTCCCCTGTCCTCTGCCCCATGCATTTCCACGGGACCAAAGCCCCTATGCACAGCAAAAGGAAAGTATGTGAATGTACGCACACGGTAACTTGCTCCTGGCCTTTTCAGCCTATGGAGGAAGACAACTTCCCTCATTAGAAAATGAAGCAGGTCTGACCTGGACTTTCTCAAAACACTCTAAAGCCAGAGGCAGGTTTCTCCCATAAGCGACAGCAAAGCCCTCCTCCTGCCCATGTTGTTTGGGAAATGGCACAAGAACCAGGAGAATCACAGAGAGATTCACACCCTCAGAGACACCAGTGAGTGCAGCCCCTCCTGACATCATCTGGGCAGAAGCCTCCAGCCCTTGGGATGACTTTACCTCCTAACAGAGGTGCCAGAGCACCTGATCTGGATTTACCAGGCCTGCCTTAGTACCATGCCACAATAATTGTTGCAGCATCCCAGCCTTTCCTTGCTCGAGCCAGTCTGTTTATAGGTTGTTTGGATCTCCACCTCCACATTGCAGGGGGATTGAACACCACTGATCACATCCACTTCTACCTCTGACCTGAAGGGAGAGGAAGATTTCCCCGTTTGCTGTTGTGGCAAGTGGCGCCTCTCTGCAAGAGATTTCATCTCCTGCTCGGGGCCCCTCTGCACTGGCCAGGCTCACTCCATGCTGCTGGACCTCTCCCAGCCCCTCTAAGCAGGGCTCCGGTCAAGTCTTTGTAACAACTCCCCATTCCTCAAAATAGCTTGGCACTCCTGTAGCAGTTTGGGTGGGGAATGCCAAACTCACACCAACTAATGGCTCTGTCCAATCACCTGAGGAGTAGCAGGTACCACCCAGTGCGGAGGTCAGCGCTTGAATAAAGACCTCCACAACTTTTCTGGGTGCAGCTGGTAAGGCGATTTTATTATAAAGGTAGCGGGGCAACTGAACTGCTTAAAGGGAGGAACAAAAGGGCACAAAAAGCACTGCGCAAAATGGCTCCAGCCTTAAATAACACGGGTAAGGAAGGCGCTGGAACAGAAGATGGGGTTTGGGCGGAGCATGCAAATTACAACCAATCATAGGAGATGGGGGCTGAACATAACCGTATAGGGTACTGCGTCAAATATCAACCAATGAAAGGACAGAACATACAGACGGTACAATACAATACAACAACTTATATGCAAAATCTACAATTTCCTTATAATTACACATTTTTAGACTGCCACAACCCAGCCTGCCCCATGCAGAGCCCTGCGGGTGGCTCCTGCTACGCCCAATGCCAAAAGAACACCACAGGAGACCCTGGGGAGGGAAGAAGGGAAGGAAAGAAGGAAATCTCAGTGCTTTGGATCTGGAGCAGCTGGGGGAACTCCAGTGCCTCCCAAGACGCCCTGTCAGACACGTGAGGAACTGCAGAGTCGAGAGCTCTCCCCACGCACCCCTACAGCCCGCTCCGAAATAAATACCATTGACTGCCCAAGGAAGGTCCCCTTCAGAGTAGCGACACGATCCCCGTAGCCCCTTGCTCTGGATTCCCCCGCCCATTCCCGGCCTCACCCCTCTGTGCCCAGAGCCCACTAGCTTTGAGCTACAGGGAGCAGAGGGGCTCTGTTGCCACCCTGTCAGGCGGCGTGAGCTGTAGAACAGCTCCAGTGGCCAAGTGCAGGGCTGAGCTCTCCATGGGACTGTGTCTGGCTTCAGGCAGTTTTCTGACTGGGAATGGGACTATTCTAGCCCAAAGGGAGCAATCAGGATCCAACATCTGTTTTGTTTAAGGCTATCAGGAGCCTTCTTGGTCGCTTATCCTTTGATTTTTCTCCAAATCTTGAAGTGGTTTTGATGAGGTACAAAAATGAGGTGCAGAAAGCATACCTTCCTCCCCCATAGACACAGTTTCCCCTCAGATCAGGGGGATCAGACCAAATCTCTGGTGGGAGCTGTTTTATTAAGCTTGTCAGACCTTGAGCATCAGGGGAGCTGTGTACAGCTCGTGGCAGCAGGTGCTGGGGCCTTGGCCAGTGTCACCTGGAAGGGGAAAGGAGGAAAGGGGACCAGCACGGATCCCTGCTGCCCTGCATATCCCCTGAGCCAAGGGACACTTATGGACAGTTGTTCTGCACCTCCCCCTGTCCCCTTTTGGTCAGGGCTATCACCTGACACTGCGGTGACAGACGGGTTCATCAGGATATCCTTGGCAGAATGATGATGGCACTGAGTCATAGTTGCAATTAAAGCTTCATTTTTTTTAACATCATGGTATGATCACTATAGCCCAGAATACCATGATTTGAGTAGCACAAGATTTCTATCAGCAGCACCAGCATAGCAAGATTTTGTAAGCCCTTTAGCACCGAATTGTACAGCACAGCTCAGCTTATGATGCCTGATCACCTGGACCTGATCACTCTGCAGGCCAGGGCACATCCTAATCCTTGGTTTGTCATGTCAATATAACAATCTTAATCTAGACTTGAAACACGTTAACAGAACATGAGTGGCCCTTTCAGGGGAGAAGAGTCTGTTTGGTATTAAGATGGGGCTCTGTGTGCTGCTGTGCTGCCCTGTGCTGCTGTGAGGCCATCACAGCCTGGCAGGCCTGTGAGGAGCAAAGGAGTCGGCCTGGTGCCTGGAAACGTGAAGGCTGATAGGGAGGGGGAGAAGGGGTCTTCCTGGCGCACTGGACCTTCAGGGACTGACGATGAGGGCAAAGGGGACTCATGTAGGACCAGCTTGGTCACAGAGCACAGCTGTTTACGTCCTAAAATGCCCCCATATGAGCAGGAGGCAGGAGCAGAGGCACTGTTCACGAGTGCCACTGTTGATTGTCTTCATCAGAGAGCTCCTGAAGTGCTGCTGGGAGGACGGTAATACAGGACCTAGACATCAGGTTAGGGCAGGGGCATAAAAAGTCACCTGAGAGGTGTAATGCAGGAGTAAATGCAGAGACTTTGTCTGGGTAAGGGATACAAGGAGCCTCCCCAAGGATGACAGGGATAAAACCAGCTGCTGCAAGACGTGATGAAAAAAGCCATCCAAGCAAAGTCATGCCCTAGCTGGATGCCCCAAGTATAAAAGAAGAAACACCTCGGAGTGGAGCAGGAGCCGTATGAACTGTGCTGAGCTGGGCAGGAGTAAAACCACCTGTCCTGAGAAGAACTGAGTAAAACTTGATGCCCCATTCCAGGCAGGGGCCAAACCAGCCAGTTCAAGTGTTGTTAAATAACAACCAGCTGCATCCTTGGAGCATGAGAAACACTATCTGCCTGCTGAGCAGAGGTTACACCAGGTGTCCAGAGGACTGCCTGTTGCTAAATACCTCTGAAACTGTCGGGATAAATAGGACCCTCTAGCAAATTGGCTTTTTAGTGTTAGAAAGCAAGTGATTACTTTTATTTGCAGCCCTGGGTGTGCATGTGGCTGGCAAAAATCCTGCCTCCATACTGACAGCAAGACATCGCTTTTCACCTATTTATACAGATTTGGCAAACAAAGAAATTAATGTTCATTGCTTCCAAATTACATCACTCGCTCCCTTTCATTAATTAGTGTTCTATGTGGTATTGGTTATTAATTTCTCACTTTCTACTGTAATAACTTCATATCTTTTTTGTATATTTTCCCTCCCCTAGGGATTTTCTGACACAAATGCTGAGCCTTTGTTAGTCTTCTTCTTTATCTGCTGGTTTCTGCAGAAGGTCCTTGTAGTCCATAAATCTTGTGTTCCAGATCTCCTCCTTCAACAGGACATCTTTCTCTGGCAGGCTTTCTCCACTGAAGCATAACAGGGTTAACTTCAACAAAACTTACAGGTTTAGTACTTTTCCCAGGCTGTGTTCTCACACAGGAGCTTATGACAATTTTTACTCCATGCTGGCTAAAGTTGATTTAAGGCTGAACGCACCGCCTACGATGTGTGTTAAAAACAACTAATCAAAAAGTTAATCAGGAACACTAAAAAAATTAGAAAAGTTTTATGGTTTCCAACAAGCCCAAAACAACATAGGCCAAGTGCAGCAGGGACAAAACTGTCTCTATCCATTGATGCCAGGAAAAGGCAACAGTAGTAAAACTCAATAGCCACAGGTGCTATTAAGCTGGTATTTCTTTATTTCGGCGCCGGACGTGCGGGGGACAGCTCCGCCTAACACGCGCGTGCCCTCGCCCATCGTAGCTTCCGTTTTATACAATTAGGTCATACAGACTCATTGCACATTTTTACATCTTCATGAACTACCCGAGAGTGGGCAGTGTTCTATGTAAATCTCGGGACACGCCTCCTGGAGCCTGCGCACTTCTCTCTGGTGGATGTCTCGGGTGGTCGTAAGGGATGAAGGCTCAAAGTCTTCCTCTCTCTGAACTTCTCACCTCACTCAGTCCCTCAGCATCTTCCCCTGGCAACGGCTCCTCATGGGCTGCCCGTCCACTCGGTGTCCCATTGGTTGCCTACGGGTTACCCTTTGCTCCACTGCACACTTTCCCACTGGCTGCCCCTTCGCACCATCACACAGCTTTCCCATTGGCTGCCTCTGGGCAACTCCCCACTGGCTGCTCACCAGCACATGGCCGCTATCTTAGCAACAGCGCACGAACCTTAAAATTTCACTTATTAGACTGTGCAGCTTAAAATTTTCCCTTATCAATAGCAGCGGAACAGTTTCTCAATAGCGACTTAACATTTTCCCTTATCACCATCCAGAGTGGGAGTCTGGCTAAAGTTGCGGCTGATCAAAACCTAACCAACCCTAGCGGCAGGAGTAAATGTGAAGCTGCTAAAAAGCCATCCAGGAACGTTTTCAGAGCTTGAGGACAAGACAGCAGCTGGGTGGGGGCCAGCAGCCAGCCAAGGTCCTCCCAGCGCAGCCTCTGAAGGGCTCCTTTGGCAGTCCCAGTTCAGGGTCAGCCCATGGCTGTACCCTGGGGGCAGATGAAATTAATTGGAAATGAACCCATAAGAGTCCAGGTGCTGATAGAAGTGGAAGTGAAACCCTCAGCGTCTTGGGGGTCAGAAAAGCTGTGACCTGGCTCAGTTACAGCCCTGAACAGGCTTTTACTCATCAGGCCGTGTGGCTCAGGGAAGGTGTGGGAGCTCTGTCAGAGGACGACTAGCCCTTTGCCACCAGCATGGGGGGAGGTCCAGTGGCTTCCACCTGGCGGACGTGCCATGTGGGTTCCTGTGCCCAAGAACCATGTGGTTCCATGTGGTTCCCTGTGGTTCCATGTGACCCCATGTCACAAAGGGGCAGAGAAGTGGCACCCATCCGGTATCCTGAGGAGCGCGCCAACGAAAATCAGTTGGACAGAGTTGGCCTTCGGGATAACTCAGCTCCTTCCTTTGCTACTTGTGTGCCTGCCTTTTTTGGATGGTTTATTGTTTACTGACCATTTCTCCTCAACTTTCATCCTCTTTCAAAGGTAATGCTTTGACTTTTGGCACAGATCACAGAGCAGGGTATATGGGATAAAAGTATAGGCTGATTTATACCTTCCCAGCTGTAGGCTGAGCTGTTACAACTTTTATAGGCTGGCCAGGTATGACCTAGGCTAGAATTCCAGTTTGCTGGTTCTTGGATTTTTTCCATAGCCTAGGATAGGTAAGCGGGGAGGTGACTGTAGTCTGAGGGGATGGGCTCAGCCCACCTTGATTGCTGTGGGAGGGAGGGAGACAGAAAAAGGAGAGCAGCAAAGGCAGCAGTTAAAGTAGTGGCTGAAAGATGGTCACTCCTAGGAGGTGGGAAAGCCAGAGGGCTCTGTTGCTGAAGCAGTGTCAGGAGAGCAGCAGGGCCTCTTCAGAGAAGGTAACATACATTGGAGCATTTCAAAAGGGCCTTTGAACCTGCTGTGAGTTGGTGCCCCGCGACTGATCATAAGGGCGTGAGCTGCAGCTCAGCAGCAGTTACAAGCACCACTGAAAGGCTTGGTGGTGGATGCCGTTCTGCGTTTATTTAGAGTTTTGATACTTTCGGTGAGCTACAGTAATTTCTTTGCAATTAGGTGACGGGATTGGTGCTGTTCTCTTTCTGGAGAGAAAGACATCCTTGGTCATCTAAAGCATTGCACTCTCCTCCTGAGAGAGGCAATGGCCACAGCAGGGAACGACTCCTGTGAGTAACAGCTTCACCAGCAGGTTTGGACTTTGTGAACTGCCACAGACAACTGACATGGCTGGTGGTCACATCCCAGAATGATGTGCTCACAACCTAGAGTGATCTCTGGGGTGTTTCCTGAGAGCAGTCAAACTGACCCCCGTGTTTACAATTAGACCCAGGAAAACACCTTTTGTCACTCCTCTGACACTAGGTACAAGACTTTGAAAGCTGCCATTGCTCGTAGAGAGGTCTGCCATCCTTTGGGTTACCTTCCGTGCTCAGTATTTACTTGTTTTCAACAAGTTACAATCAGGAAAAGGGATGGCTTCACTGATAATCCAGTCTAGAACTCTACTGAGAAAGGAAGGTAGCCTGCCGCCCAGAAATCAGATTGTGGGTTTGTTGGACTCTCAGCAACGTAAACGGGGGAATGGATTTTTCCAAAACAGTAAATTTAAATGGCACTGTTTAAGCTTCCCCTGATGTTGTTGGGTTGGCAGTTAAAGCAGATGGTCCTGAGTGCTCCTGTAGAGACCTCACTGTTTAAATATGCCTTTGTGCCTCATTTCATCTCTTTTCAAATGGAATTTCCCTGCAGCCATTGCCGAGGGAATGACTCCGCCACAGAGGATCCTCTTTCCCCCCGAGAAGATTTGCATGGTCTGGCAGCAAAGACAGAGTGCTGGAGCAGGACTCCGCAATGTGGGCAACACATGCTACCTTAATGCTGTCCTGCAATGCCTGACATACACCCCGCCGCTGGCCAACTATCTGCTCTCCCGCGAGCACAGCCAGGCCTGTGAGTACTCTTAGGGACATCTCCTTGTAAAGCTGTTAATCGAATCCCAAGGATTCCCAGAACCTGAAATTTGATTTAGGAGAAAAGCAGCCCTTTGTCAGCCCCAGAACTTGTGTTCTTTGTACACTCAGGAGCCACCTGTCCTATCCAGCTGTCTTATTCTTCATGAAGGCACATCTTTCTAGCTCTGGGTCACTATTCCTGCAAGTTAAAACCTCAGTTTAGCATTCCTCTGAAGAACATTTTCTATGCACTGAAACGTCCCGTGCCTGTTGAAACACTGGGAGGAGTGGCATATTGCACTGGAGTGGGAGTGGAAGAAGAGGAGTATTCCACCACTAGGGATATTTTGCTAACCAGAGGACCTTCTCTCCCTCCCTCCTCAGGTCGCCAACAAGGCTTCTGCATGATGTGCATCATGGAAGCGCATGTTAACAAGGTCCTGCGTTCCTCAGTCAGTGCCATCCTGCCTTTGGCTGTTCTCAGGGGTTTCAGATGTATGTGATTTCAGGTTCTTTGACAGGTTTTCTTCCCTTCCTGTAGGAGACAACTACTAACTTCCTGTTTCTTAGTCATAGGAGAACATTTTCAGCTTGGCAGGGAGGAAGATGCCCATGACTTCCTTTGCTGTACTGTCAATGCCATGCAGAGAGCTTGTCTGGGTGCAAGCAACGAGTAAGCACAAGCAAGTTACCTTTACAAAGTTCTGAGCCCTTTGGACTCCTTGATGTGGCCTCATCAAGGAAAACCTACAGCCGGGGCTTGGAGGAAGTAATGCTCTGTCTTACTACTTGTTTCCAGCTTGGACATATCATCTCAATCTACTACCATTGTCCATCAAATATTTGGAGGCTTTCTGAGATCCAGAGGTATGTTTCTACAACTACTGCTCTCCTTGGCACTGCCTGTGCCCTTCTGTCTGCCTGTGCCCAACAGCTGGTCCTGGGACTAGCAGGACAGGTACAATGAGCACAAAGCAGTACCATCGTCCAACTCACCATTGCTCGGCATTTTGATTTTTCCTTCCAGTCACCTGCTTCAGCTGCAAAGCCATTTCTGATTCCTATGAGGCCTTCCTGGATGTCCCTTTGGATATCAAAGTAAGAGGTTTTGCAGTTGTGCTTCAAGACATCGCAAGGCTTTTCAGAGTCAACACATTTGTCCTGAAAGCATAGACTGTGAACACCAGAGGTCTTGGTCGTGGATGGGAAGGGGAACGGATGTTGTCCTCCTGCGGAGGCCATGGCACTGGTCTCTCTGTAGGTGCTGGCTTGAAGCTGGACAAGCACCCATTATGCGCTCTGCACCCTTGACATATCCTCATCCTTCTTCCCTTTGCCCTCCTTCAACACCTGTCTGGCTTCCAGGCTGATGGGTTGGATTGTTTTCACTACTGATGACCCTACATAACGTCAGTAGCTCAATGGGAGGTGGTACAGAGAGGGAGCTCTTGATTGCCCCTGAGAACCTCTGGGACAGGGGAAATGTTCAGCACCACACTCTCTTTCTGGCTCCTTCTGGATACAGCTTGCAGATTCATGGCGGGTCTCCTCAGCATCAGCTACAGGGGTTTTCTTGTCAGCTCCTGGAAAATGTTTGGGCGAGGGCATTTCCTGTAGCTCAGTGCACCGATTTCTCAATTCTCCAGGCAGCCTCATCCCTCACTGCAGCTCTGGAGGACTTTGTAACACCTGAGCACCTGGATGGTGAAAACTGCTTTAAATGTAGCAAGTAAGATGATTACTAACAACATATTAACACTAGACTCTGTGTGAGGGGGCTACAAGTCATTGAGCAGAAGTCATCTTCTCGTGGAAGTTTACTGCACACTGATGAGACACAGGGGTTTTTGTCTGTGTTTTTTTTTTGGGGGGGGGGGTTGGGGTTGTTTGTTTGTTGGTTGGTTTGTTTGTTTGTTTGTTTTAAATATGGCAGCGAATTGCCTTAAAATAGCATAAGGATGCACGAGACAAGAAAGGTTGTCTGACTGCCTTGGTGGAAGATAGGGTGCATTTCAGCTCTGTGCTCTGTGCTTGGTTTCAAGGTGTGAGAAGAATGTTGCCGCCACTAAGAGGTTCACTGTCCACTGTGCACCCAAGGTTCTCACTGTGTGTCTGAAGAGGTTTGACTGCTTCACTGGTGGGAAGATCAGCAAGGTGTGTACACTATTGGTGTGCAGCTTTCTCTTCAAGAAGCAGATTTCCTAAAGCAGTATGCTTGTCACAAGCTGCTTGCGTTGGGTTTTTTGTGGTCCCTTCTGGGGAGTGGAAAGTTCCTGTGGGAAGACAGGCAAGCACTGTGCTCTGATAGGGCTGCTTTGACTGAGAACGGTTTCCTGCCACCCAAACGATTATATGCTGCTTTATGGAAAACCAAGTGCTCATGAGCCCCAGAGATGTATCGATACACCTGGACTGGCCCCTGCACTTGGTAGGCTATTTCATGTCACAGACCAGGGTCATTTCTGAGCCCTCTTGGTCTCTCCATAGGTTGTAGAGTATCCGGAGTACTTGGATCTTCGCCCATACATGTCTCAGGCAGATGGAGAACCACTCCTCTACTCCTTATATGCTGTCCTGGTGCACAGTGGTGCCAGCTGTCATGGAGGACACTATTTCTGCTACACAAAGGTAAAAGAGCAACTTCCTTCCCGATGGGGAAAAATGTGTGCTGGGGAAGATAAACTTTCCTGTCAGTGTTACTGACAGCCAAAGTTTTGGGGCAGAAGGCCTCCTTAGTGGCTGGACTGCATTTGTTTTGACATGCTCTCGGTTTGGCAGTTTCCTACCTGTGTTTTTGGAGAGAAACCATGGAGAGATCCTTGCCTTTTTTTTACAGGCCAGCAATGGATTGTGGTACCGGATGGACGATGAATCTGTGGAGCTGTGTTCCATTGACACAGTTCTCAGGCAGCAAGCCTACCTGCTGTTCTATGCCAGGTAATAACCAGGATTCAAATATCTTCAGAATACATTTCCTTTTCCTCATTTGCAGTTGTGCTTCTCACCTTCCTGAGTGTTTTTCTCATCAAATGAAATTACTACCTGCATCATTCAGTGCTGTCAAATCTGAACTACTCCGTGTCTGTCCTTTACTGGGCTTCAGGCTGCGGCCCGGATGTAATCTGCTACTTGCCTGGTCTCTGATGTTGACTCTTGTAGATAAGAGGACTTAAAGAGGACCTCCAGGAAAGATGGGGAGGCACCATTTGTCAGGGAATGTAGCGACAGGATGAAGGCTATCAGTTTTCAGCTAACAGAGGGCAGGTTTACACTAGATATTGGGAAGGAATTCTTTGCTGTAAGGGTGCTGAGACACTGGCACAGGTTACCACAGCATCTGTGGGTGCCCCATCCCTGGAAGTGTTCAAGGCCAGGTTGGACAGGGCTTGGAGAAACCTTGGAATAGTGGAGGGTGTTCCTGCCCACCACAGCGGGGTGGAACAAGATAAAGTTAAAGGTCCCTTGCAACCCAAACAAATCTGTGAATTTATGAAATGGAGGCTGTGGGAGGTATAGAGATGAGGTTTTTATTGGGACAGAGGCAAACTTGGTGGGAAGACCCTAGCTGAGTTTCCCATTAGTGTCCTTGGTTAAGTCTTCTCTCTGTCATAGAAACCTCTCTGAGAAAATGACTGAACCCCAGAGGAGGTTGCAACAACAGCTCTAAACTGAGATCACTCTTTTGTTTTTCTCCAGATGCTCTGATCTGAGAATTGGAGAAAGGCCTTCTTCCTCACTGGCACCATCACATGCCCCTTCCTTCCTCAGCCAGTGTGTGGCCAGCAGCAAGCAGGCGGGCTCTGTTGGACCACAGGGTCTGACTGGTAGGACTAAGGTAACTTTGGGGTCGTGGGTCAGGGCATCAGAGGAATAGTGGATTTCTTTCTGGGATCTCAGCATTTCTCTTTTGTCCCTCACACACCGCACCTTTCTTCACAGCCACAACGCTGCTCCCTCTCAAAGCATCCCACCTGGATCCATCCCTTTGGTGCGCCTCTGGCCTTTTGGTTTTAGTAGCCCTCCAAAAGAGCCTTTTGGAGGCCCCAAACTGTCCTGTCCCAGAACTTGTAGGGGTTCCCCACTGCTCTGATCCTTTCAGGAGAAAAGGGCAGGAACTCTCCACAGCTCTCTTTGCAGGGCATGAAGTACACTGGCAGGGAGCGGTCCCGGAGCAGATCCCCTCTGTGGGGCAGGGATCTCCGCAGCTGGTCTGTGGACACCGCAGACTATGATGACTCTTCAGAGAGAAGAACTGGTCCTCCAAGTCGTGACCGTGGTCCTAGGGATAGCACAGCTGCCAGGCCTTCCAAGAGGATCTGCCGGTGGGCTCCCGCTCCCAGGGCTGCTCAGGAGCAAACCTTGCTGAGGCAGAGGGAGCCAAGCAGATCTGTGCAGGGAACTTACAACCTTTGCATGAAGTACACTGGCAGGGAGCGGTCCCGGAGCAGATCCCCTCTGTGGGGCAGGGATCTCCGCAGCTGGTCTGTGGACACCGCAGACTATGATGACTCTTCAGAGAGAAGAACTGGTCCTCCAAGTCGTGACCGTGGTCCTAGGGATAGCACAGCTGCCAGGCCTTCCAAGAGGATCTGCCGGTGGGCTCCCGCTCCCAGGGCTGCTCAGGAGCAAACCTTGCTGAGGCAGAGGGAGCCAAGCAGATCTGTGCAGGGAACTTACAACCTTTGCATGAAGTACACTGGCAGGGAGCGGTCCCGGAGCAGATCCCCTCTGTGGGGCAGGGATCTCCGCAGCTGGTCTGTGGACACCGCAGACTATGATGACTCTTCAGAGAGAAGAACTGGTCCTCCAAGTCGTGACCGTGGTCCTAGGGATAGCACAGCTGCCAGGCCTTCCAAGAGGATCTGCCGGTGGGCTCCCGCTCCCAGGGCTGCTCAGGAGCAAACCTTGCTGAGGCAGAGGGAGCCAAGCAGATCTGTGCGGGGAACTTACAACCTTCGCAGCCGGTTTGTGCAGTACACAGACTATGACCGCTCACTGCGGAAGAGAAAGAGGGAGAGAACAAGTCCTCCACGTTGTGACCAAGTCTTAGTGAATACTGCAGTTCCAGGGCCCTCCAAAGCCAGCTCCAAGCAGGCTCTCATGCTCCGGGCTGCTCGGGAGCAAACCCCACAGAGGCAGAGAGAGCAGAGAAGATCAACAGGGCGGGGCTATGATTGCCACAGCCAGTTTGTGCAGTACACAGACTACCGCCCTTCAGAGAAGAAGAGGAGGGTTTCCATGCCCCAGAGATTCACGTCAGACAAGCATTCAGGGCACTCTGGCAATGATGGCGTTGGATTATGGCCCTGGCTCAAGCAGAACGGAAGACTAGCACTGCGTTTATTAGCGAAGGCATCCTTGTTTTCGACACGCCTTCTCAGACCTAAGTGAATGATTTAGCTAAGTAGATGATAGTTATAATAATATAGAAATATTATTAGAAATATAGAAATATATATGGAAATTTAGAATATATATAGAGAGAGAAGTATATATAGAAATATAGAAATATATATAGAAATATAGAATATAGAGAGAGAGAAGTATATATAGAAATATAGAAATATATATAGAAATATAATATAGAAATATACATAGAAGTAATATTTTATAATACATTATTACATGTTATATATATTCAGCAATAGATAGTAATGTTATAATAAATATTATTAAAATAATAAATACTAAAATACTGTACTCAGAATTATTTATTCCACGTTGTAGACAATTATAGCCACAAACATCTCAGCCTCGGCCATATCAATCAACAGAACTGGTCTACTCTGGCCTCAAATCGGGAGGCCTGGAGACACACCATCTATAACGCTGCTGTTTCCTTTGAGAACGCACGCAGAATCCCTCTCGAGGAGAAAAGACAAGGGAGAAAGAATCATGTCTTGCAGAATATACCACCTAGGGAGTCTTTCTGCTGTGCCTTTTGCAATCGGATATGTCTATCTCGCATTGGCCTCCTAAGCCACCAGCGTGCTTGTAACAAATGTGGATAGAGCCTTGTTAAATCTTCGTTCGCGAAGCCTAGCCACGATGATGTGTTTAAGACGGGCGTTCCATAATTTAGTGTTCTCACTGAAACCATGCAAATCGTGCGCCACTCGCTCACTTCCCACTCCTCCTTCCCTTCCCACTCCCCCTCCATCCTGAGGCAGGCTGGACGGGAGAATTGGAGGCACAAAAGGTAAAGATCGCAGGCTGAGACAAGAACAATTTACTGGAAACGGCAATGAAATAAGAAAACAGTACAGCAACACAACAGTAACAGAAACAATACTAATAACCGAGTGTACAAGGGAGGCAAATGACTCACGCATGATTGCTCACCAGTTGGTGCCCAACTTTGCCACCACGCACACAACCTGGAAGAGACCCCTTCCCCCATCCTTGACAAAATGAGGAATAACCTCTATGTCCTGGCTGTGCCCCCTCCTGGATACTGCCAGAATTAACACTGTCCTGACCAGAAGCAGGACAATCACCTTCAGGATCTGCAGCACAGCTTTCGGCTCTGCACCGGAGGCACTGGATCCCTCCAGGCCAGGGAGGGGAGACATCAGAGATGAGCAGACTTTGGAAATCCCTCACCTCTCACTCCGGCCCATTTTTTCTCATTTTATGGGATGGAAGAATACATACCCAACTCCTCCCAGTGTCCTTCTCACTGGAAATCCCCTGAGCTTTGATTCCTTTGCTGACATGCTGCTTCCTCTGGGAAAAGCAGTCAGAAAACCCAAGGCCATTGCTTTGAGTGAAGGTCTTTCTTAGAACACTTTTCCTGAAGTGCACCCAGGAAGGCTGGGCTGCAGCAGCACATGGCCCCCATGGCTTTGCTACATCTCCTCCAGAACACCTGGAAGCCCTTCTCTCACCATCCAGCCGCTCCCCTGCCCTGTCTTCCCCACCCCACAGGGATGCTGCAGAGGAGTTAACAAACTTCACAGTTCAATCCTGATATCCCACTGCTGACTGGGATGGGGTGAGACCAGGGGCAGTTTTGGCCCCCATCAGCACCAGCTCTTGGGACAGCCAGGCTCTCTCCTGACATGTGGGCTCATCTCTGCAGCTTTGCTGTCCTCCACAGGGCGTTTGCTGAAAAAAATCATCTTCCAGAAAAGACATATGACACGAGCCCAGGGGTCAGCAGCACCACACGAGAGCTTGGCAAGATGCCCTGAGGACAGCCAGGCCAGGCAGAGAGAGGTGGAAGGACCACAGGGGCTCTCTGAAGCAGCCCCATTGTACAACGTAGACAATGAGGCTAAATAAACACTGGGATGAAAGATGATAGTGCTCTTACAAGGGAAATTTACAGCTGCTGTACAGGCCTGGGGCTCTTGCTGGAAAGCTTCAGTCTCTGGGCTCCCGGTGCCCAAAGGCATTGCAGATAACTCCTTCTCAAGCAACGGCAGGGAGCAGGGTGGAGAAGTCAAGGATGAGGCAGATCAGAAAGACTGGGGCAGCACAAAGAGATCTACAAGGGAGAGAGGCAGCACCTGAAAGGCACTCCTTGCTGACCTATGAGCTGGTGCCGTGGGCTCTACAACTGCTGCCTGCAGTCAGCTTGGAAGCTCTGGCGGTTTTAACAGGAGGTTTGTCTGCAAACAAGATGGAGAGACATTACGATGATGGATGCGGGTATATTCCTGACCTAGGCTCTCCAGAGGGAGATTTGCTGTCTCCTCATGGGCCATAGAGGCTTTTAATACGGGATGAACTTCACTTTGTCTCCCCAAGCTCATGTCCAGCCTGTTCCATGGCCTCTGACTGCGATCTGCTGTCCACCTAGCTTCATCCCCCCTCACAACCCTGGGGACTCCTTGGAGATGAATGGCTGCCGTGCCAGCACCTGCTGCTCCAGGAAGGGAGTGCAAGGTGAAGATGCTACACTCGCAGGTGCAAAGAAGGTTCATTTTGCCATGGGATCCCGGGAGGTCACCATGCACATCGTCAATGGGGTCTGAAAAAAGAAAACTTACAGATGTTGAGGCAGCTGAGCTCATCAAGCACATGTAGAAAAGCTCCTGATTTCAGTATGGCTGGCTCTTTTGAAATGCCCCAGGAAGGAAGATTTGGTCTCAGGCATCATCAGCCTCATTGGCCAGTCTAGAGAGAACTGCCTGGACTTGAATCAGAAGTCTGTGGATAAGAGATTTAGCTTCATTTAGCTAGAAATGGGATATCTCTCTCCAGTGAGCCAGCTGCTTGCCATTCCGTTAGTCCCTGACCACAAGCAGCACTGAATCTGTGATCTCTCCCCCTCCAGTTTCTCAGAGTCCCTGGGTAACCCTGAAAGCACTGCTTCAGTATCAGGTTCTGCAAGAGGCCTTCAAAAAAGCAGCTAGGGGATTAGGTGAGGGGAAGAACCAGAAAATCGCACGCATTCCTCCCTGGATTCGTGAAAGACAATAAGAAAGGAATACAAGACCCCCAAAAGCAAGTCCACTTGATGGGAGCGGCAGGTGAGCATCTCTGGTTCAGTAGTGATACGATGCACTCAACTGCAGCTTGCAGACAAGAATCCTGAACCATTCCAGTAGCCAAGATTGCCACCTGATCCCAAGGTCCCCTGTCCTCTGCCCCATGCATTTCCACGGGACCAAAGCCCCTATGCACAGCAAAAGGAAAGTATGTGAATGTACGCACACGGTAACTTGCTCCTGGCCTTTTCAGCCTATGGAGGAAGACAACTTCCCTCATTAGAAAATGAAGCAGGTCTGACCTGGACTTTCTCAAAACACTCTAAAGCCAGAGGCAGGTTTCTCCCATAAGCGACAGCAAAGCCCTCCTCCTGCCCATGTTGTTTGGGAAATGGCACAAGAACCAGGAGAATCACAGAGAGATTCACACCCTCAGAGACACCAGTGAGTGCAGCCCCTCCTGACATCATCTGGGCAGAAGCCTCCAGCCCTTGGGATGACTTTACCTCCTAACAGAGGTGCCAGAGCACCTGATCTGGATTTACCAGGCCTGCCTTAGTACCATGCCACAATAATTGTTGCAGCATCCCAGCCTTTCCTTGCTCGAGCCAGTCTGTTTATAGGTTGTTTGGATCTCCACCTCCACATTGCAGGGGGATTGAACACCACTGATCACATCCACTTCTACCTCTGACCTGAAGGGAGAGGAAGATTTCCCCGTTTGCTGTTGTGGCAAGTGGCGCCTCTCTGCAAGAGATTTCATCTCCTGCTCGGGGCCCCTCTGCACTGGCCAGGCTCACTCCATGCTGCTGGACCTCTCCCAGCCCCTCTAAGCAGGGCTCCGGTCAAGTCTTTGTAACAACTCCCCATTCCTCAAAATAGCTTGGCACTCCTGTAGCAGTTTGGGTGGGGAATGCCAAACTCACACCAACTAATGGCTCTGTCCAATCACCTGAGGAGTAGCAGGTACCACCCAGTGCGGAGGTCAGCGCTTGAATAAAGACCTCCACAACTTTTCTGGGTGCAGCTGGTAAGGCGATTTTATTATAAAGGTAGCGGGGCAACTGAACTGCTTAAAGGGAGGAACAAAAGGGCACAAAAAGCACTGCGCAAAATGGCTCCAGCCTTAAATAACACGGGTAAGGAAGGCGCTGGAACAGAAGATGGGGTTTGGGCGGAGCATGCAAATTACAACCAATCATAGGAGATGGGGGCTGAACATAACCGTATAGGGTACTGCGTCAAATATCAACCAATGAAAGGACAGAACATACAGACGGTACAATACAATACAACAACTTATATGCAAAATCTACAATTTCCTTATAATTACACATTTTTAGACTGCCACAACCCAGCCTGCCCCATGCAGAGCCCTGCGGGTGGCTCCTGCTACGCCCAATGCCAAAAGAACACCACAGGAGACCCTGGGGAGGGAAGAAGGGAAGGAAAGAAGGAAATCTCAGTGCTTTGGATCTGGAGCAGCTGGGGGAACTCCAGTGCCTCCCAAGACGCCCTGTCAGACACGTGAGGAACTGCAGAGTCGAGAGCTCTCCCCACGCACCCCTACAGCCCGCTCCGAAATAAATACCATTGACTGCCCAAGGAAGGTCCCCTTCAGAGTAGCGACACGATCCCCGTAGCCCCTTGCTCTGGATTCCCCCGCCCATTCCCGGCCTCACCCCTCTGTGCCCAGAGCCCACTAGCTTTGAGCTACAGGGAGCAGAGGGGCTCTGTTGCCACCCTGTCAGGCGGCGTGAGCTGTAGAACAGCTCCAGTGGCCAAGTGCAGGGCTGAGCTCTCCATGGGACTGTGTCTGGCTTCAGGCAGTTTTCTGACTGGGAATGGGACTATTCTAGCCCAAAGGGAGCAATCAGGATCCAACATCTGTTTTGTTTAAGGCTATCAGGAGCCTTCTTGGTCGCTTATCCTTTGATTTTTCTCCAAATCTTGAAGTGGTTTTGATGAGGTACAAAAATGAGGTGCAGAAAGCATACCTTCCTCCCCCATAGACACAGTTTCCCCTCAGATCAGGGGGATCAGACCAAATCTCTGGTGGGAGCTGTTTTATTAAGCTTGTCAGACCTTGAGCATCAGGGGAGCTGTGTACAGCTCGTGGCAGCAGGTGCTGGGGCCTTGGCCAGTGTCACCTGGAAGGGGAAAGGAGGAAAGGGGACCAGCACGGATCCCTGCTGCCCTGCATATCCCCTGAGCCAAGGGACACTTATGGACAGTTGTTCTGCACCTCCCCCTGTCCCCTTTTGGTCAGGGCTATCACCTGACACTGCGGTGACAGACGGGTTCATCAGGATATCCTTGGCAGAATGATGATGGCACTGAGTCATAGTTGCAATTAAAGCTTCATTTTTTTTAACATCATGGTATGATCACTATAGCCCAGAATACCATGATTTGAGTAGCACAAGATTTCTATCAGCAGCACCAGCATAGCAAGATTTTGTAAGCCCTTTAGCACCGAATTGTACAGCACAGCTCAGCTTATGATGCCTGATCACCTGGACCTGATCACTCTGCAGGCCAGGGCACATCCTAATCCTTGGTTTGTCATGTCAATATAACAATCTTAATCTAGACTTGAAACACGTTAACAGAACATGAGTGGCCCTTTCAGGGGAGAAGAGTCTGTTTGGTATTAAGATGGGGCTCTGTGTGCTGCTGTGCTGCCCTGTGCTGCTGTGAGGCCATCACAGCCTGGCAGGCCTGTGAGGAGCAAAGGAGTCGGCCTGGTGCCTGGAAACGTGAAGGCTGATAGGGAGGGGGAGAAGGGGTCTTCCTGGCGCACTGGACCTTCAGGGACTGACGATGAGGGCAAAGGGGACTCATGTAGGACCAGCTTGGTCACAGAGCACAGCTGTTTACGTCCTAAAATGCCCCCATATGAGCAGGAGGCAGGAGCAGAGGCACTGTTCACGAGTGCCACTGTTGATTGTCTTCATCAGAGAGCTCCTGAAGTGCTGCTGGGAGGACGGTAATACAGGACCTAGACATCAGGTTAGGGCAGGGGCATAAAAAGTCACCTGAGAGGTGTAATGCAGGAGTAAATGCAGAGACTTTGTCTGGGTAAGGGATACAAGGAGCCTCCCCAAGGATGACAGGGATAAAACCAGCTGCTGCAAGACGTGATGAAAAAAGCCATCCAAGCAAAGTCATGCCCTAGCTGGATGCCCCAAGTATAAAAGAAGAAACACCTCGGAGTGGAGCAGGAGCCGTATGAACTGTGCTGAGCTGGGCAGGAGTAAAACCACCTGTCCTGAGAAGAACTGAGTAAAACTTGATGCCCCATTCCAGGCAGGGGCCAAACCAGCCAGTTCAAGTGTTGTTAAATAACAACCAGCTGCATCCTTGGAGCATGAGAAACACTATCTGCCTGCTGAGCAGAGGTTACACCAGGTGTCCAGAGGACTGCCTGTTGCTAAATACCTCTGAAACTGTCGGGATAAATAGGACCCTCTAGCAAATTGGCTTTTTAGTGTTAGAAAGCAAGTGATTACTTTTATTTGCAGCCCTGGGTGTGCATGTGGCTGGCAAAAATCCTGCCTCCATACTGACAGCAAGACATCGCTTTTCACCTATTTATACAGATTTGGCAAACAAAGAAATTAATGTTCATTGCTTCCAAATTACATCACTCGCTCCCTTTCATTAATTAGTGTTCTATGTGGTATTGGTTATTAATTTCTCACTTTCTACTGTAATAACTTCATATCTTTTTTGTATATTTTCCCTCCCCTAGGGATTTTCTGACACAAATGCTGAGCCTTTGTTAGTCTTCTTCTTTATCTGCTGGTTTCTGCAGAAGGTCCTTGTAGTCCATAAATCTTGTGTTCCAGATCTCCTCCTTCAACAGGACATCTTTCTCTGGCAGGCTTTCTCCACTGAAGCATAACAGGGTTAACTTCAACAAAACTTACAGGTTTAGTACTTTTCCCAGGCTGTGTTCTCACACAGGAGCTTATGACAATTTTTACTCCATGCTGGCTAAAGTTGATTTAAGGCTGAACGCACCGCCTACGATGTGTGTTAAAAACAACTAATCAAAAAGTTAATCAGGAACACTAAAAAAATTAGAAAAGTTTTATGGTTTCCAACAAGCCCAAAACAACATAGGCCAAGTGCAGCAGGGACAAAACTGTCTCTATCCATTGATGCCAGGAAAAGGCAACAGTAGTAAAACTCAATAGCCACAGGTGCTATTAAGCTGGTATTTCTTTATTTCGGCGCCGGACGTGCGGGGGACAGCTCCGCCTAACACGCGCGTGCCCTCGCCCATCGTAGCTTCCGTTTTATACAATTAGGTCATACAGATTCATTGCACATTTTTACATCTTCATGAACTACCCGAGAGTGGGCAGTGTTCTATGTAAATCTCGGGACACGCCTCCTGGAGCCTGCGCACTTCTCTCTGGTGGATGTCTCGGGTGGTCGTAAGGGATGAAGGCTCAAAGTCTTCCTCTCTCTGAACTTCTCACCTCACTCAGTCCCTCAGCATCTTCCCCTGGCAACGGCTCCTCATGGGCTGCCCGTCCACTCGGTGTCCCATTGGTTGCCTACGGGTTACCCTTTGCTCCACTGCACACTTTCCCACTGGCTGCCCCTTCGCACCATCACACAGCTTTCCCATTGGCTGCCTCTGGGCAACTCCCCACTGGCTGCTCACCAGCACATGGCCGCTATCTTAGCAACAGCGCACGAACCTTAAAATTTCACTTATTAGACTGTGCAGCTTAAAATTTTCCCTTATCAATAGCAGCGGAACAGTTTCTCAATAGCGACTTAACATTTTCCCTTATCACCATCCAGAGTGGGAGTCTGGCTAAAGTTGCGGCTGATCAAAACCTAACCAACCCTAGCGGCAGGAGTAAATGTGAAGCTGCTAAAAAGCCATCCAGGAACGTTTTCAGAGCTTGAGGACAAGACAGCAGCTGGGTGGGGGCCAGCAGCCAGCCAAGGTCCTCCCAGCGCAGCCTCTGAAGGGCTCCTTTGGCAGTCCCAGTTCAGGGTCAGCCCATGGCTGTACCCTGGGGGCAGATGAAATTAATTGGAAATGAACCCATAAGAGTCCAGGTGCTGATAGAAGTGGAAGTGAAACCCTCAGCGTCTTGGGGGTCAGAAAAGCTGTGACCTGGCTCAGTTACAGCCCTGAACAGGCTTTTACTCATCAGGCCGTGTGGCTCAGGGAAGGTGTGGGAGCTCTGTCAGAGGACGACTAGCCCTTTGCCACCAGCATGGGGGGAGGTCCAGTGGCTTCCACCTGGCGGACGTGCCATGTGGGTTCCTGTGCCCAAGAACCATGTGGTTCCATGTGGTTCCCTGTGGTTCCATGTGACCCCATGTCACAAAGGGGCAGAGAAGTGGCACCCATCCGGTATCCTGAGGAGCGCGCCAACGAAAATCAGTTGGACAGAGTTGGCCTTCGGGATAACTCAGCTCCTTCCTTTGCTACTTGTGTGCCTGCCTTTTTTGGATGGTTTATTGTTTACTGACCATTTCTCCTCAACTTTCATCCTCTTTCAAAGGTAATGCTTTGACTTTTGGCACAGATCACAGAGCAGGGTATATGGGATAAAAGTATAGGCTGATTTATACCTTCCCAGCTGTAGGCTGAGCTGTTACAACTTTTATAGGCTGGCCAGGTATGACCTAGGCTAGAATTCCAGTTTGCTGGTTCTTGGATTTTTTCCATAGCCTAGGATAGGTAAGCGGGGAGGTGACTGTAGTCTGAGGGGATGGGCTCAGCCCACCTTGATTGCTGTGGGAGGGAGGGAGACAGAAAAAGGAGAGCAGCAAAGGCAGCAGTTAAAGTAGTGGCTGAAAGATGGTCACTCCTAGGAGGTGGGAAAGCCAGAGGGCTCTGTTGCTGAAGCAGTGTCAGGAGAGCAGCAGGGCCTCTTCAGAGAAGGTAACATACATTGGAGCATTTCAAAAGGGCCTTTGAACCTGCTGTGAGTTGGTGCCCCGCGACTGATCATAAGGGCGTGAGCTGCAGCTCAGCAGCAGTTACAAGCACCACTGAAAGGCTTGGTGGTGGATGCCGTTCTGCGTTTATTTAGAGTTTTGATACTTTCGGTGAGCTACAGTAATTTCTTTGCAATTAGGTGACGGGATTGGTGCTGTTCTCTTTCTGGAGAGAAAGACATCCTTGGTCATCTAAAGCATTGCACTCTCCTCCTGAGAGAGGCAATGGCCACAGCAGGGAACGACTCCTGTGAGTAACAGCTTCACCAGCAGGTTTGGACTTTGTGAACTGCCACAGACAACTGACATGGCTGGTGGTCACATCCCAGAATGATGTGCTCACAACCTAGAGTGATCTCTGGGGTGTTTCCTGAGAGCAGTCAAACTGACCCCCGTGTTTACAATTAGACCCAGGAAAACACCTTTTGTCACTCCTCTGACACTAGGTACAAGACTTTGAAAGCTGCCATTGCTCGTAGAGAGGTCTGCCATCCTTTGGGTTACCTTCCGTGCTCAGTATTTACTTGTTTTCAACAAGTTACAATCAGGAAAAGGGATGGCTTCACTGATAATCCAGTCTAGAACTCTACTGAGAAAGGAAGGTAGCCTGCCGCCCAGAAATCAGATTGTGGGTTTGTTGGACTCTCAGCAACGTAAACGGGGGAATGGATTTTTCCAAAACAGTAAATTTAAATGGCACTGTTTAAGCTTCCCCTGATGTTGTTGGGTTGGCAGTTAAAGCAGATGGTCCTGAGTGCTCCTGTAGAGACCTCACTGTTTAAATATGCCTTTGTGCCTCATTTCATCTCTTTTCAAATGGAATTTCCCTGCAGCCATTGCCGAGGGAATGACTCCGCCACAGAGGATCCTCTTTCCCCCCGAGAAGATTTGCATGGTCTGGCAGCAAAGACAGAGTGCTGGAGCAGGACTCCGCAATGTGGGCAACACATGCTACCTTAATGCTGTCCTGCAATGCCTGACATACACCCCGCCGCTGGCCAACTATCTGCTCTCCCGCGAGCACAGCCAGGCCTGTGAGTACTCTTAGGGACATCTCCTTGTAAAGCTGTTAATCGAATCCCAAGGATTCCCAGAACCTGAAATTTGATTTAGGAGAAAAGCAGCCCTTTGTCAGCCCCAGAACTTGTGTTCTTTGTACACTCAGGAGCCACCTGTCCTATCCAGCTGTCTTATTCTTCATGAAGGCACATCTTTCTAGCTCTGGGTCACTATTCCTGCAAGTTAAAACCTCAGTTTAGCATTCCTCTGAAGAACATTTTCTATGCACTGAAACGTCCCGTGCCTGTTGAAACACTGGGAGGAGTGGCATATTGCACTGGAGTGGGAGTGGAAGAAGAGGAGTATTCCACCACTAGGGATATTTTGCTAACCAGAGGACCTTCTCTCCCTCCCTCCTCAGGTCGCCAACAAGGCTTCTGCATGATGTGCATCATGGAAGCGCATGTTAACAAGGTCCTGCGTTCCTCAGTCAGTGCCATCCTGCCTTTGGCTGTTCTCAGGGGTTTCAGATGTATGTGATTTCAGGTTCTTTGACAGGTTTTCTTCCCTTCCTGTAGGAGACAACTACTAACTTCCTGTTTCTTAGTCATAGGAGAACATTTTCAGCTTGGCAGGGAGGAAGATGCCCATGACTTCCTTTGCTGTACTGTCAATGCCATGCAGAGAGCTTGTCTGGGTGCAAGCAACGAGTAAGCACAAGCAAGTTACCTTTACAAAGTTCTGAGCCCTTTGGACTCCTTGATGTGGCCTCATCAAGGAAAACCTACAGCCGGGGCTTGGAGGAAGTAATGCTCTGTCTTACTACTTGTTTCCAGCTTGGACATATCATCTCAATCTACTACCATTGTCCATCAAATATTTGGAGGCTTTCTGAGATCCAGAGGTATGTTTCTACAACTACTGCTCTCCTTGGCACTGCCTGTGCCCTTCTGTCTGCCTGTGCCCAACAGCTGGTCCTGGGACTAGCAGGACAGGTACAATGAGCACAAAGCAGTACCATCGTCCAACTCACCATTGCTCGGCATTTTGATTTTTCCTTCCAGTCACCTGCTTCAGCTGCAAAGCCATTTCTGATTCCTATGAGGCCTTCCTGGATGTCCCTTTGGATATCAAAGTAAGAGGTTTTGCAGTTGTGCTTCAAGACATCGCAAGGCTTTTCAGAGTCAACACATTTGTCCTGAAAGCATAGACTGTGAACACCAGAGGTCTTGGTCGTGGATGGGAAGGGGAACGGATGTTGTCCTCCTGCGGAGGCCATGGCACTGGTCTCTCTGTAGGTGCTGGCTTGAAGCTGGACAAGCACCCATTATGCGCTCTGCACCCTTGACATATCCTCATCCTTCTTCCCTTTGCCCTCCTTCAACACCTGTCTGGCTTCCAGGCTGATGGGTTGGATTGTTTTCACTACTGATGACCCTACATAACGTCAGTAGCTCAATGGGAGGTGGTACAGAGAGGGAGCTCTTGATTGCCCCTGAGAACCTCTGGGACAGGGGAAATGTTCAGCACCACACTCTCTTTCTGGCTCCTTCTGGATACAGCTTGCAGATTCATGGCGGGTCTCCTCAGCATCAGCTACAGGGGTTTTCTTGTCAGCTCCTGGAAAATGTTTGGGCGAGGGCATTTCCTGTAGCTCAGTGCACCGATTTCTCAATTCTCCAGGCAGCCTCATCCCTCACTGCAGCTCTGGAGGACTTTGTAACACCTGAGCACCTGGATGGTGAAAACTGCTTTAAATGTAGCAAGTAAGATGATTACTAACAACATATTAACACTAGACTCTGTGTGAGGGGGCTACAAGTCATTGAGCAGAAGTCATCTTCTCGTGGAAGTTTACTGCACACTGATGAGACACAGGGGTTTTTGTCTGTGTTTTTTTTTTGGGGGGGGGGGGTTGGGGTTGTTTGTTTGTTGGTTGGTTTGTTTGTTTGTTTGTTTTAAATATGGCAGCGAATTGCCTTAAAATAGCATAAGGATGCACGAGACAAGAAAGGTTGTCTGACTGCCTTGGTGGAAGATAGGGTGCATTTCAGCGCTGTGCTCTGTGCTTGGTTTCAAGGTGTGAGAAGAATGTTGCCGCCACTAAGAGGTTCACTGTCCACTGTGCACCCAAGGTTCTCACTGTGTGTCTGAAGAGGTTTGACTGCTTCACTGGTGGGAAGATCAGCAAGGTGTGTACACTATTGGTGTGCAGCTTTCTCTTCAAGAAGCAGATTTCCTAAAGCAGTATGCTTGTCACAAGCTGCTTGCGTTGGGTTTTTTGTGGTCCCTTCTGGGGAGTGGAAAGTTCCTGTGGGAAGACAGGCAAGCACTGTGCTCTGATAGGGCTGCTTTGACTGAGAACGGTTTCCTGCCACCCAAACGATTATATGCTGCTTTATGGAAAACCAAGTGCTCATGAGCCCCAGAGATGTATCGATACACCTGGACTGGCCCCTGCACTTGGTAGGCTATTTCATGTCACAGACCAGGGTCATTTCTGAGCCCTCTTGGTCTCTCCATAGGTTGTAGAGTATCCGGAGTACTTGGATCTTCGCCCATACATGTCTCAGGCAGATGGAGAACCACTCCTCTACTCCTTATATGCTGTCCTGGTGCACAGTGGTGCCAGCTGTCATGGAGGACACTATTTCTGCTACACAAAGGTAAAAGAGCAACTTCCTTCCCGATGGGGAAAAATGTGTGCTGGGGAAGATAAACTTTCCTGTCAGTGTTACTGACAGCCAAAGTTTTGGGGCAGAAGGCCTCCTTAGTGGCTGGACTGCATTTGTTTTGACATGCTCTCGGTTTGGCAGTTTCCTACCTGTGTTTTTGGAGAGAAACCATGGAGAGATCCTTGCCTTTTTTTTACAGGCCAGCAATGGATTGTGGTACCGGATGGACGATGAATCTGTGGAGCTGTGTTCCATTGACACAGTTCTCAGGCAGCAAGCCTACCTGCTGTTCTATGCCAGGTAATAACCAGGATTCAAATATCTTCAGAATACATTTCCTTTTCCTCATTTGCAGTTGTGCTTCTCACCTTCCTGAGTGTTTTTCTCATCAAATGAAATTACTACCTGCATCATTCAGTGCTGTCAAATCTGAACTACTCCGTGTCTGTCCTTTACTGGGCTTCAGGCTGCGGCCCGGATGTAATCTGCTACTTGCCTGGTCTCTGATGTTGACTCTTGTAGATAAGAGGACTTAAAGAGGACCTCCAGGAAAGATGGGGAGGCACCATTTGTCAGGGAATGTAGCGACAGGATGAAGGCTATCAGTTTTCAGCTAACAGAGGGCAGGTTTACACTAGATATTGGGAAGGAATTCTTTGCTGTAAGGGTGCTGAGACACTGGCACAGGTTACCACAGCATCTGTGGGTGCCCCATCCCTGGAAGTGTTCAAGGCCAGGTTGGACAGGGCTTGGAGAAACCTTGGAATAGTGGAGGGTGTTCCTGCCCACCACAGCGGGGTGGAACAAGATAAAGTTAAAGGTCCCTTGCAACCCAAACAAATCTGTGAATTTATGAAATGGAGGCTGTGGGAGGTATAGAGATGAGGTTTTTATTGGGACAGAGGCAAACTTGGTGGGAAGACCCTAGCTGAGTTTCCCATTAGTGTCCTTGGTTAAGTCTTCTCTCTGTCATAGAAACCTCTCTGAGAAAATGACTGAACCCCAGAGGAGGTTGCAACAACAGCTCTAAACTGAGATCACTCTTTTGTTTTTCTCCAGATGCTCTGATCTGAGAATTGGAGAAAGGCCTTCTTCCTCACTGGCACCATCACATGCCCCTTCCTTCCTCAGCCAGTGTGTGGCCAGCAGCAAGCAGGCGGGCTCTGTTGGACCACAGGGTCTGACTGGTAGGACTAAGGTAACTTTGGGGTCGTGGGTCAGGGCATCAGAGGAATAGTGGATTTCTTTCTGGGATCTCAGCATTTCTCTTTTGTCCCTCACACACCGCACCTTTCTTCACAGCCACAACGCTGCTCCCTCTCAAAGCATCCCACCTGGATCCATCCCTTTGGTGCGCCTCTGGCCTTTTGGTTTTAGTAGCCCTCCAAAAGAGCCTTTTGGAGGCCCCAAACTGTCCTGTCCCAGAACTTGTAGGGGTTCCCCACTGCTCTGATCCTTTCAGGAGAAAAGGGCAGGAACTCTCCACAGCTCTCTTTGCAGGGCATGAAGTACACTGGCAGGGAGCGGTCCCGGAGCAGATCCCCTCTGTGGGGCAGGGATCTCCGCAGCTGGTCTGTGGACACCGCAGACTATGATGACTCTTCAGAGAGAAGAACTGGTCCTCCAAGTCGTGACCGTGGTCCTAGGGATAGCACAGCTGCCAGGCCTTCCAAGAGGATCTGCCGGTGGGCTCCCGCTCCCAGGGCTGCTCAGGAGCAAACCTTGCTGAGGCAGAGGGAGCCAAGCAGATCTGTGCGGGGAACTTACAACCTTCGCAGCCGGTTTGTGCAGTACACAGACTATGACCGCTCACTGCGGAAGAGAAAGAGGGAGAGAACAAGTCCTCCACGTTGTGACCAAGTCTTAGTGAATACTGCAGTTCCAGGGCCCTCCAAAGCCAGCTCCAAGCAGGCTCTCATGCTCCGGGCTGCTCGGGAGCAAACCCCACAGAGGCAGAGAGAGCAGAGAAGATCAACAGGGCGGGGCTATGATTGCCACAGCCAGTTTGTGCAGTACACAGACTACCGCCCTTCAGAGAAGAAGAGGAGGGTTTCCATGCCCCAGAGATTCACGTCAGACAAGCATTCAGGGCACTCTGGCAATGATGGCGTTGGATTATGGCCCTGGCTCAAGCAGAACGGAAGACTAGCACTGCGTTTATTAGCGAAGGCATCCTTGTTTTCGACACGCCTTCTCAGACCTAAGTGAATGATTTAGCTAAGTAGATGATAGTTATAATAATATAGAAATATTATTAGAAATATAGAAATATATATGGAAATTTAGAATATATATAGAGAGAGAAGTATATATAGAAATATAGAAATATATATAGAAATATAGAATATAGAGAGAGAGAAGTATATATAGAAATATAGAAATATATATAGAAATATAATATAGAAATATACATAGAAGTAATATTTTATAATACATTATTACATGTTATATATATTCAGCAATAGATAGTAATGTTATAATAAATATTATTAAAATAATAAATACTAAAATACTGTACTCAGAATTATTTATTCCACGTTGTAGACAATTATAGCCACAAACATCTCAGCCTCGGCCATATCAATCAACATAACTGGTCTACTCTGGCCTCAAATCGGGAGGCCTGGAGACACACCATCTATAACGCTGCTGTTTCCTTTGAGAACGCACGCAGAATCCCTCTCGAGGAGAAAAGACAAGGGAGAAAGAATCATGTCTTGCAGAATATACCACCTAGGGAGTCTTTCTGCTGTGCCTTTTGCAATCGGATATGTCTATCTCGCATTGGCCTCCTAAGCCACCAGCGTGCTTGTAACAAATGTGGATAGAGCCTTGTTAAATCTTCGTTCGCGAAGCCTAGCCACGATGATGTGTTTAAGACGGGCGTTCCATAATTTAGTGTTCTCACTGAAACCATGCAAATCGTGCGCCACTCGCTCACTTCCCACTCCTCCTTCCCTTCCCACTCCCCCTCCATCCTGAGGCAGGCTGGACGGGAGAATTGGAGGCACAAAAGGTAAAGATCGCAGGCTGAGACAAGAACAATTTACTGGAAACGGCAATGAAATAAGAAAACAGTACAGCAACACAACAGTAACAGAAACAATACTAATAACTGAGTGTACAAGGGAGGCAAATGACTCACGCATGATTGCTCACCAGTTGGTGCCCAACTTTGCCACCACGCACACAACCTGGAAGAGACCCCTTCCCCCATCCTTGACAAAATGAGGAATAACCTCTATGTCCTGGCTGTGCCCCCTCCTGGATACTGCCAGAATTAACACTGTCCTGACCAGAAGCAGGACAATCACCTTCAGGATCTGCAGCACAGCTTTCGGCTCTGCACCGGAGGCACTGGATCCCTCCAGGCCAGGGAGGGGAGACATCAGAGATGAGCAGACTTTGGAAATCCCTCACCTCTCACTCCGGCCCATTTTTTCTCATTTTATGGGATGGAAGAATACATACCCAACTCCTCCCAGTGTCCTTCTCACTGGAAATCCCCTGAGCTTTGATTCCTTTGCTGACATGCTGCTTCCTCTGGGAAAAGCAGTCAGAAAACCCAAGGCCATTGCTTTGAGTGAAGGTCTTTCTTAGAACACTTTTCCTGAAGTGCACCCAGGAAGGCTGGGCTGCAGCAGCACATGGCCCCCATGGCTTTGCTACATCTCCTCCAGAACACCTGGAAGCCCTTCTCTCACCATCCAGCCGCTCCCCTGCCCTGTCTTCCCCACCCCACAGGGATGCTGCAGAGGAGTTAACAAACTTCACAGTTCAATCCTGATATCCCACTGCTGACTGGGATGGGGTGAGACCAGGGGCAGTTTTGGCCCCCATCAGCACCAGCTCTTGGGACAGCCAGGCTCTCTCCTGACATGTGGGCTCATCTCTGCAGCTTTGCTGTCCTCCACAGGGCGTTTGCTGAAAAAAATCATCTTCCAGAAAAGACATATGACACGAGCCCAGGGGTCAGCAGCACCACACGAGAGCTTGGCAAGATGCCCTGAGGACAGCCAGGCCAGGCAGAGAGAGGTGGAAGGACCACAGGGGCTCTCTGAAGCAGCCCCATTGTACAACGTAGACAATGAGGCTAAATAAACACTGGGATGAAAGATGATAGTGCTCTTACAAGGGAAATTTACAGCTGCTGTACAGGCCTGGGGCTCTTGCTGGAAAGCTTCAGTCTCTGGGCTCCCGGTGCCCAAAGGCATTGCAGATAACTCCTTCTCAAGCAACGGCAGGGAGCAGGGTGGAGAAGTCAAGGATGAGGCAGATCAGAAAGACTGGGGCAGCACAAAGAGATCTACAAGGGAGAGAGGCAGCACCTGAAAGGCACTCCTTGCTGACCTATGAGCTGGTGCCGTGGGCTCTACAACTGCTGCCTGCAGTCAGCTTGGAAGCTCTGGCGGTTTTAACAGGAGGTTTGTCTGCAAACAAGATGGAGAGACATTACGATGATGGATGCGGGTATATTCCTGACCTAGGCTCTCCAGAGGGAGATTTGCTGTCTCCTCATGGGCCATAGAGGCTTTTAATACGGGATGAACTTCACTTTGTCTCCCCAAGCTCATGTCCAGCCTGTTCCATGGCCTCTGACTGCGATCTGCTGTCCACCTAGCTTCATCCCCCCTCACAACCCTGGGGACTCCTTGGAGATGAATGGCTGCCGTGCCAGCACCTGCTGCTCCAGGAAGGGAGTGCAAGGTGAAGATGCTACACTCGCAGGTGCAAAGAAGGTTCATTTTGCCATGGGATCCCGGGAGGTCACCATGCACATCGTCAATGGGGTCTGAAAAAAGAAAACTTACAGATGTTGAGGCAGCTGAGCTCATCAAGCACATGTAGAAAAGCTCCTGATTTCAGTATGGCTGGCTCTTTTGAAATGCCCCAGGAAGGAAGATTTGGTCTCAGGCATCATCAGCCTCATTGGCCAGTCTAGAGAGAACTGCCTGGACTTGAATCAGAAGTCTGTGGATAAGAGATTTAGCTTCATTTAGCTAGAAATGGGATATCTCTCTCCAGTGAGCCAGCTGCTTGCCATTCCGTTAGTCCCTGACCACAAGCAGCACTGAATCTGTGATCTCTCCCCCTCCAGTTTCTCAGAGTCCCTGGGTAACCCTGAAAGCACTGCTTCAGTATCAGGTTCTGCAAGAGGCCTTCAAAAAAGCAGCTAGGGGATTAGGTGAGGGGAAGAACCAGAAAATCGCACGCATTCCTCCCTGGATTCGTGAAAGACAATAAGAAAGGAATACAAGACCCCCAAACGCAAGTCCACTTGATGGGAGCGGCAGGTGAGCATCTCTGGTTCAGTAGTGATACGATGCACTCAACTGCAGCTTGCAGACAAGAATCCTGAACCATTCCAGTAGCCAAGATTGCCACCTGATCCCAAGGTCCCCTGTCCTCTGCCCCATGCATTTCCACGGGACCAAAGCCCCTATGCACAGCAAAAGGAAAGTATGTGAATGTACGCACACGGTAACTTGCTCCTGGCCTTTTCAGCCTATGGAGGAAGACAACTTCCCTCATTAGAAAATGAAGCAGGTCTGACCTGGACTTTCTCAAAACACTCTAAAGCCAGAGGCAGGTTTCTCCCATAAGCGACAGCAAAGCCCTCCTCCTGCCCATGTTGTTTGGGAAATGGCACAAGAACCAGGAGAATCACAGAGAGATTCACACCCTCAGAGACACCAGTGAGTGCAGCCCCTCCTGACATCATCTGGGCAGAAGCCTCCAGCCCTTGGGATGACTTTACCTCCTAACAGAGGTGCCAGAGCACCTGATCTGGATTTACCAGGCCTGCTTTAGTACCATGCCACAATAATTGTTGCAGCATCCCAGCCTTTCCTTGCTCGAGCCAGTCTGTTTGTAGGTTGTTTGGATCTCCACCTCCACATTGCAGGGGGATTGAACACCACTGATCACATCCACTTCTACCTCTGACCTGAAGGGAGAGGAAGATTTCCCCGTTTGCTGTTGTGGCAAGTGGCGCCTCTCTGCAAGAGATTTCATCTCCTGCTCGGGGCCCCTCTGCACTGGCCAGGCTCACTCCATGCTGCTGGACCTCTCCCAGCCCCTCTAAGCAGGGCCCCGGTCAAGTCTTTGTAACAACTCCCCATTCCTCAAAATAGCTTGGCACTCCTGTAGCAGTTTGGGTGGGGAATGCCAAACTCACACCAACTAATGGCTCTGTCCAATCACCTGAGGAGTAGCAGGTACCACCCAGTGCGGAGGTCAGCGCTTGAATAAAGACCTCCACAACTTTTCTGGGTGCAGCTGGTAAGGCGATTTTATTATAAAGGTAGCGGGGCAACTGAACTGCTTAAAGGGAGGAACAAAAGGGCACAAAAAGCACTGCGCAAAATGGCTCCAGCCTTAAATAACACGGGTAAGGAAGGCGCTGGAACAGAAGATGGGGTTTATGCGGAGCATGCAAATTACAACCAATCATAGGAGATGGGGGCTGAACATAACCGTATAGGGTACTGCGTCAAATATCAACCAATGAAAGGACAGAACATACAGACGGTACAATACAATACAACAACTTATATGCAAAATCTACAATTTCCTTATAATTACACATTTTTAGACTGCCACAACCCAGCCTGCCCCATGCAGAGCCCTGCGGGTGGCTCCTGCTACGCCCAATGCCAAAAGAACACCACAGGAGACCCTGGGGAGGGAAGAAGGGAAGGAAAGAAGGAAATCTCAGTGCTTTGGATCTGGAGCAGCTGGGGGAACTCCAGTGCCTCCCAAGACGCCCTGTCAGACACGTGAGGAACTGCAGAGTCGAGAGCTCTCCCCACGCACCCCTACAGCCCGCTCCGAAATAAATACCATTAACTGCCCATGGAAGGTCCCCTTCAGAGTAGCGACACGATCCCCGTAGCCCCTTGCTCTGGATTCCCCCGCCCATTCCCGGCCTCACCCCTCTGTGCCCAGAGCCCACTAGCTTTGAGCTACAGGGAGCAGAGGGGCTCTGTTGCCACCCTGTCAGGCGGCGTGAGCTGTAGAACAGCTCCAGTGGCCAAGTGCAGGGCTGAGCTCTCCATGGGACTGTGTCTGGCTTCAGGCAGTTTTCTGACTGGGAATGGGACTATTCTAGCCCAAAGGGAGCAATCAGGATCCAACATCTGTTTTGTTTAAGGCTATCAGGAGCCTTCTTGGTCGCTTATCCTTTGATTTTTCTCCAAATCTTGAAGTGGTTTTGATGAGGTACAAAAATGAGGTGCAGAAAGCATACCTTCCTCCCCCATAGACACAGTTTCCCCTCAGATCAGGGGGATCAGACCAAATCTCTGGTGGGAGCTGTTTTATTAAGCTTGTCAGACCTTGAGCATCAGGGGAGCTGTGTACAGCTCGTGGCAGCAGGTGCTGGGGCCTTGGCCAGTGTCACCTGGAAGGGGAAAGGAGGAAAGGGGACCAGCACGGATCCCTGCTGCCCTGCATATCCCCTGAGCCAAGGGACACTTATGGACAGTTGTTCTGCACCTCCCCCTGTCCCCTTTTGGTCAGGGCTATCACCTGACACTGCGGTGACAGACGGGTTCATCAGGATATCCTTGGCAGAATGATGATGGCACTGAGTCATAGTTGCAATTAAAGCTTCATTTTTTTTAACATCATGGTATGATCACTATAGCCCAGAATACCATGATTTGAGTAGCACAAGATTTCTATCAGCAGCACCAGCATAGCAAGATTTTGTAAGCCCTTTAGCACCGAATTGTACAGCACAGCTCAGCTTATGATGCCTGATCACCTGGACCTGATCACTCTGCAGGCCAGGGCACATCCTAATCCTTGGTTTGTCATGTCAATATAACAATCTTAATCTAGACTTGAAACACGTTAACAGAACATGAGTGGCCCTTTCAGGGGAGAAGAGTCTGTTTGGGTATTAAGATGGGGCTCTGTGTGCTGCTGTGCTGCCCTGTGCTGCTGTGAGGCCATCCCAGCCTGGCAGGCAGGTGCCTGTGACCTGCAAGGCCTGTGAGGAGCAAAGGAGTCGGCCTGGGGCCTGGAAATGTGAAGGCTGATAGGGAGGGGGAGAAGGGGTCTTCCTGGCGCACTGGACCTTCAGGGACTGACGATGAGGGCAAAGGGGACTCATGTAGGACCAGCTTGGTCACAGAGCACAGCTGTTTATGTCCTAAAATGCCCCCATATGAGCAGGAGGCAGGAGCAGAGGCACTGTTCACGAGTGCCATTGTTGATTGTCTTCATCAGAGAGCTCCTGAAGTGCTGCTGGGAGGACGGTAATACAGGACCTAGACATCAGGTTAGGGCAGGGGCATAAAAAGGTCACCTGAGAGGTGTAATGCAGGAGTAAATGCAGAGACTTTGTCTGGGTAAGGGATACAAGGAGCCTCCCCAAGGATGACAGGGATAAAACCAGCTGCTGCAAGACGTGATGAAAAAAGCCATCCAAGCAAAGTCATGCCCTAGCTGGATGCCCCAAGTATAAAAGAAGAAACACCTCGGAGTGGAGCAGGAGCCGTATGAACTGTGCTGAGCTGGGCAGGAGTAAAACCACCTGTCCTGAGAAGAACTGAGTAAAACTTGATGCCCCATTCCAGGCAGGGGCCAAACCAGCCAGTTCAAGTGTTGTTAAATAACAACCAGCTGCATCCTTGGAGCATGAGAAACACTATCTGCCTGCTGAGCAGAGGTTACACCAGGTGTCCAGAGGACTGCCTGTTGCTAAATACCTCTGAAACTGTCGGGATAAATAGGACCCTCTAGCAAATTGGCTTTTTAGTGTTAGAAAGCAAGTGATTACTTTTATTTGCAGCCCTGGGTGTGCATGTGGCTGGCAAAAATCCTGCCTCCATACTGACAGCAAGACATCGCTTTTCACCTATTTATACAGATTTGGCAAACAAAGAAATTAATGTTCATTGCTTCCAAATTACATCACTCACTCCCTTTCATTAATTAGTATTCTATGTGGTATTGGTTATTAATTTCTCACTTCCTACTGTAATAACTTCATATCTTTAATCTTTTTTGTATATTTTCCCTCCCCTAGGGATTTTCTGACACAAATGCTGAGCCTTTGTTAGTCTTCTTCTTTATCTGCTGGTTTCTGCAGAAGGTCCTTGTAGTCCATAAATCTTGTGTTCCAGATCTCCTCCTTCAACAGGACATCTTTCTCTGGCAGGCTTTCTCCACTGAAGCATAACAGGGTTAACTTCAACAAAACTTACAGGTTTAGTACTTTTCCCAGGCTGTGTTCTCACACAGGAGCTTATGACAATTTTTACTCCATGCTGGCTAAAGTTGATTTAAGGCTGAACGCACCGCCTACGATGTGTGTTAAAAACAACTAATCAAAAAGTTAATCAGGAACACTAAAAAAATTAGAAAAGTTTTATGGTTTCCAACAAGCCCAAAACAACATAGGCCAAGTGCAGCAGGGACAAAACTGTCTCTATCCATTGATGCCAGGAAAAGGCAACAGTAGTAAAACTCAATAGCCACAGGTGCTATTAAGCTGGTATTTCTTTATTTCGGCGCCGGACGTGCGGGGGACAGCTCCGCCTAACACGCGCGTGCCCTCGCCCATCGTAGCTTCCGTTTTATACAATTAGGTCATACAGATTCATTGCACATTTTTACATCTTCATGAACTACCCGAGAGTGGGCAGTGTTCTATGTAAATCTCGGGACACGCCTCCTGGAGCCTGCGCACTTCTCTCTGGTGGATGTCTCGGGTGGTCGTAAGGGATGAAGGCTCAAAGTCTTCCTCTCTCTGAACTTCTCACCTCACTCAGTCCCTCAGCATCTTCCCCTGGCAACGGCTCCTCATGGGCTGCCCGTCCACTCGGTGTCCCATTGGTTGCCTACGGGTTACCCTTTGCTCCACTGCACACTTTCCCACTGGCTGCCCCTTCGCACCATCACACAGCTTTCCCATTGGCTGCCTCTGGGCAACTCCCCACTGGCTGCTCACCAGCACATGGCCGCTATCTTAGCAACAGCGCACGAACCTTAAAATTTCACTTATTAGACTGTGCAGCTTAAAATTTTCCCTTATCAATAGCAGCGGAACAGTTTCTCAATAGCGACTTAACATTTTCCCTTATCACCATCCAGAGTGGGAGTCTGGCTAAAGTTGCGGCTGATCAAAACCTAACCAACCCTAGCGGCAGGAGTAAATGTGAAGCTGCTAAAAAGCCATCCAGGAACGTTTTCAGAGCTTGAGGACAAGACAGCAGCTGGGTGGGGGCCAGCAGCCAGCCAAGGTCCTCCCAGCGCAGCCTCTGAAGGGCTCCTTTGGCAGTCCCAGTTCAGGGCCAGCCCATGGCTGTACCCTGGGGGCAGATGAAATTAATTGGAAATGAACCCATAAGAGTCCAGGTGCTGATAGAAGTGGAAGTGAAACCCTCAGCGTCTTGGGGGTCAGAAAAGCTGTGACCTGGCTCAGTTACAGCCCTGAACAGGCTTTTACTCATCAGGCCGTGTGGCTCAGGGAAGGTGTGGGAGCTCTGTCAGAGGACGACTAGCCCTTTGCCACCAGCATGGGGGGAGGTCCAGTGGCTTCCACCTGGCGGACGTGCCATGTGGGTTCCTGTGCCCAAGAACCATGTGGTTCCATGTGGTTCCCTGTGGTTCCATGTGACCCCATGTCACAAAGGGGCAGAGAAGTGGCACCCATCCGGTATCCTGAGGAGCGCGCCAACGAAAATCAGTTGGACAGAGTTGGCCTTCGGGATAACTCAGCTCCTTCCTTTGCTACTTGTGTGCCTGCCTTTTTTGGATGGTTTATTGTTTACTGACCATTTCTTCTCAACTTTCATCCTCTTTCAAAGGTAATGCTTTGACTTTTGGCACAGATCACAGAGCAGGGTATATGGGATAAAAGTATAGGCTGATTTATACCTTCCCAGCTGTAGGCTGAGCTGTTACAACTTTTATAGGCTGGCCAGGTATGACCTAGGCTAGAATTCCAGTTTGCTGGTTCTTGGATTTTTTCCATAGCCTAGGATAGGTAAGCGGGGAGGTGACTGTAGTCTGAGGGGATGGGCTCAGCCCACCTTGATTGCTGTGGGAGGGAGGGAGACAGAAAAAGGAGAGCAGCAAAGGCAGCAGTTAAAGTAGTGGCTGAAAGATGGTCACTCCTAGGAGGTGGGAAAGCCAGAGGGCTCTGTTGCTGAAGCAGTGTCAGGAGAGCAGCAGGGCCTCTTCAGAGAAGGTAACATACATTGGAGCATTTCAAAAGGGCCTTTGAACCTGCTGTGAGTTGGTGCCCCGCGACTGATCATAAGGGCATGAGCTGCAGCTCAGCAGCAGTTACAAGCACCACTGAAAGACTTGGTGGTGGATGCCGTTCTGCGTTTATTTAGAGTTTTGATACTTTCGGTGAGCTACAGTAATTTCTTTGCAATTAGGTGACGGGATTGGTGCTGTTCTCTTTCTGGAGAGAAAGACATCCTTGGTCATCTAAAGCATTGCACTCTCCTCCTGAGAGAGGCAATGGCCACAGCAGGGAACGACTCCTGTGAGTAACAGCTTCACCAGCAGGTTTGGACTTTGTGAACTGCCACAGACAACTGACATGGCTGGTGGTCACATCCCAGAATGATGTGCTCACAACCTAGAGTGATCTCTGGGGTGTTTCCTGAGAGCAGTCAAACTGACCCCCGTGTTTACAATTAGACCCAGGAAAACACCTTTTGTCACTCCTCTGACACTAGGTACAAGACTTTGAAAGCTGCCATTGCTCGTAGAGAGGTCTGCCATCCTTTGGGTTACCTTCCGTGCTCAGTATTTACTTGTTTTCAACAAGTTACAATCAGGAAAAGGGATGGCTTCACTGATAATCCAGTCTAGAACTCTACTGGGAAAGGAAGGTAGCCTGCCGCCCAGAAATCAGATTGTGGGTTTGTTGGACTCTCAGCAACGTAAACGGGGGAATGGATTTTTCCAAAACAGTAAATTTAAATGGCACTGTTTAAGCTTCCCCTGATGTTGTTGGGTTGGCAGTTAAAGCAGATGGTCCTGAGTGCTCCTGTAGAGACCTCACTGTTTAAATATGCCTTTGTGCCTCATTTCATCTCTTTTCAAATGGAATTTCCCTGCAGCCATTGCCGAGGGAATGACTCCGCCACAGAGGATCCTCTTTCCCCCCGAGAAGATTTGCATGGTCTGGCAGCAAAGACAGAGTGCTGGAGCAGGACTCCGCAATGTGGGCAACACATGCTACCTTAATGCTGTCCTGCAATGCCTGACATACACCCCGCCGCTGGCCAACTATCTGCTCTCCCGCGAGCACAGCCAGGCCTGTGAGTACTCTTAGGGACATCTCCTTGTAAAGCTGTTAATCGAATCCCAAGGATTCCCAGAACCTCAAATTTGATTTAGGAGAAAAGCAGCCCTTTGTCAGCCCCAGAACTTGTGTTCTTTGTACACTCAGGAGCCACCTGTCCTATCCAGCTGTCTTATTCTTCATGAAGGCACATCTTTCTAGCTCTGGGTCACTATTCCTGCAAGTTAAAACCTCAGTTTAGCATTCCTCTGAAGAACATTTTCTATGCACTGAAACGTCCCGTGCCTGTTGAAACACTGGGAGGAGTGGCATATTGCACTGGAGTGGGAGTGGAAGAAGAGGAGTATTCCACCACTAGGGATATTTTGCTAACCAGAGGACCTTCTCTCCCTCCCTCCTCAGGTCGCCAACAAGGCTTCTGCATGATGTGCATCATGGAAGCGCATGTTAACAAGGTCCTGCGTTCCTCAGTCAGTGCCATCCTGCCTTTGGCTGTTCTCAGGGGTTTCAGATGTATGTGATTTCAGGTTCTTTGACAGGTTTTCTTCCCTTCCTGTAGGAGACAACTACTAACTTCCTGTTTCTTAGTCATAGGAGAACATTTTCAGCTTGGCAGGGAGGAAGATGCCCATGACTTCTTATGCTGTACTGTCAATGCCATGCAGAGAGCTTGTCTGGGTGCAAGCAATGAGTAAGCACAAGCAAGTTACCTTTACAAAGTTCTGAGCCCTTTGGACTCCTTGATGTGGCCTCATCAAGGAAAACCTACAGCCGGGGCTTGGAGGAAGTAATGCTCTGTCTTACTACTTGTTTCCAGCTTGGACATATCATCTCAATCTACTACCATTGTCCATCAAATATTTGGAGGCTTTCTGAGATCCAGAGGTATGTTTCTACAACTACTGCTCTCCTTGGCACTGCCTGTGCCCTTCTGTCTGCCTGTGCCCAACAGCTGGTCCTGGGACTAGCAGGACAGGTACAATGAGCACAAAGCAGTACCATCGTCCAACTCACCATTGCTCGGCATTTTGATTTTTCCTTCCAGTCACCTGCTTCAGCTGCAAAGCCATTTCTGATTCCTATGAGGCCTTCCTGGATGTCCCTTTGGATATCAAAGTAAGAGGTTTTGCAGTTGTGCTTCAAGACATCGCAAGGCTTTTCAGAGTCAACACATTTGTCCTGAAAGCATAGACTGTGAACACCAGAGGTCTTGGTCGTGGATGGGAAGGGGAACGGATGTTGTCCTCCTGTGGAGGCCATGGCACTGGTCTCTCTGTAGGTGCTGGCTTGAAGCTGGACAAGCACCCATTATGCGCTCTGCACCCTTGACATATCCTCATCCTTCTTCCCTTTGCCCTCCTTCAACACCTGTCTGGCTTCCAGGCTGATGGGTTGGATTGTTTTCACTACTGATGACCCTACATAACGTCAGTAGCTCAATGGGAGGTGGTACAGAGAGGGAGCTCTTGATTGCCCCTGAGAACCTCTGGGACAGGGGAAATGTTCAGCACCACACTCTCTTTCTGGCTCCTTCTGGATACAGCTTGCAGATTCATGGCGGGTCTCCTCAGCATCAGCTACAGGGGTTTTCTTGTCAGCTCCTGGAAAATGTTTGGGCGAGGGCATTTCCTGTAGCTCAGTGCACCGATTTCTCAATTCTCCAGGCAGCCTCATCCCTCACTGCAGCTCTGGAGGACTTTGTAACACCTGAGCACCTGGATGGTGAAAACTGCTTTAAATGTAGCAAGTAAGATGATTACTAACAACATATTAACACTAGACTCTGTGTGAGGGGGCTACAAGTCATTGAGCAGAAGTCATCTTCTCGTGGAAGTTTACTGCACACTGATGAGACACAGGGGTTTTTGTCTGTGTTTTTTTTTGGGGGGGGGGGGTTGGGGTTGTTTGTTTGTTGGTTGGTTTGTTTGTTTGTTTGTTTTGTTTTTTTTCTTTTGGTGTTTTTTTTGTTTGTTTGTTGGTTGGTTTGTTTGTTTGTTTGTTTTAAATATGGCAGCGAATTGCCTTAAAATAGCATAAGGATGCACGAGACAAGAAAGGTTGTCTGACTGCCTTGGTGGAAGATAGGGTTCATTTCAGCGCTGTGCTCTGTGCTTGGTTTCAAGGTGTGAGAAGAATGTTGCCGCCACTAAGAGGTTCACTGTCCACTGTGCACCCAAGGTTCTCACTGTGTGTCTGAAGAGGTTTGACTGCTTCACTGGTGGGAAGATCAGCAAGGTGTGTACACTATTGGTGTGCAGCTTTCTCTTCAAGAAGCAGATTTCCTAAAGCAGTATGCTTGTCACAAGCTGCTTGCGTTGGGTTTTTTGTGGTCCCTTCTGGGGAGTGGAAAGTTCCTGTGGGAAGACAGGCAAGCACTGTGCTCTGATAGGGCTGCTTTGACTGAGAACGGTTTCCTGCCACCCAAACGATTATATGCTGCTTTATGGAAAACCAAGTGCTCATGAGCCCCAGAGATGTATCGATACACCTGGACTGGCCCCTGCACTTGGTAGGCTATTTCATGTCACAGACCAGGGTCATTTCTGAGCCCTCTTGGTCTCTCCATAGGTTGTAGAGTATCCGGAGTACTTGGATCTTCGCCCATACATGTCTCAGGCAGATGGAGAACCACTCCTCTACTCCTTATATGCTGTCCTGGTGCACAGTGGTGCCAGCTGTCATGGAGGACACTATTTCTGCTACACAAAGGTAAAAGAGCAACTTCCTTCCCGATGGGGAAAAATGTGTGCTGGGGAAGATAAACTTTCCTGTCAGTGTTACTGACAGCCAAAGTTTTGGGGCAGAAGGCCTCCTTAGTGGCTGGACTGCATTTGTTTTGACATGCTCTCGGTTTGGCAGTTTCCTACCTGTGTTTTTGGAGAGAAATCATGGAGAGATCCTTGCCTTTTTTTTACAGGCCAGCAATGGATTGTGGTACCGGATGGACGATGAATCTGTGGAGCTGTGTTCCATTGACACAGTTCTCAGGCAGCAAGCCTACCTGCTGTTCTATGCCAGGTAATAACCAGGATTCAAATATCTTCAGAATACATTTCCTTTTCCTCATTTGCAGTTGTGCTTCTCACCTTCCTGAGTGTTTTTCTCATCAAATGAAATTACTACCTGCATCATTCAGTGCTGTCAAATCTGAACTACTCCGTGTCTGTCCTTTACTGGGCTTCAGGCTGCGGCCCGGATGTAATCTGCTACTTGCCTGGTCTCTGATGTTGACTCTTGTAGATAAGAGGACTTAAAGAGGACCTCCAGGAAAGATGGGGAGGCACCATTTGTCAGGGAATGTAGCGACAGGATGAAGGCTATCAGTTTTCAGCTAACAGAGGGCAGGTTTACACTAGATATTGGGAAGGAATTCTTTGCTGTAAGGGTGCTGAGACACTGGCACAGGTTACCACAGCATCTGTGGGTGCCCCATCCCTGGAAGTGTTCAAGGCCAGGTTGGACAGGGCTTGGAGAAACCTTGGAATAGTGGAGGGTGTTCCTGCCCACCACAGCGGGGTGGAACAAGATAAAGTTAAAGGTCCCTTGCAACCCAAACAAATCTGTGAATTTATGAAATGGAGGCTGTGGGAGGTATAGAGATGAGGTTTTTATTGGGACAGAGGCAAACTTGGTGGGAAGACCCTAGCTGAGTTTCCCATTAGTGTCCTTGGTTAAGTCTTCTCTCTGTCATAGAAACCTCTCTGAGAAAATGACTGAGCCCCAGAGGAGGTTGCAACAACAGCTCTAAACTGAGATCACTCTTTTGTTTTTCTCCAGATGCTCTGATCTGAGAATTGGAGAAAGGCCTTCTTCCTCACTGGCACCATCACATGCCCCTTCCTTCCTCAGCCAGTGTGTGGCCAGCAGCAAGCAGGCGGGCTCTGTTGGACCACAGGGTCTGACTGGTAGGACTGGTCTGACTGGTAGGACTAAGGTAACTTTGGGGTCGTGGGTCAGGGCATCAGAGGAATAGTGGATTTCTTTCTGGGATCTCAGCATTTCTCTTTTGTCCCTCACACACCGCACCTTTCTTCACAGCCACAACGCTGCTCCCTCTCAAAGCATCCCACCTGGATCCATCCCTTTGGTGCGCCTCTGGCCTTTTGGTTTTAGTAGCCCTCCAAAAGAGCCTTTTGGAGGCCCCAAACTGTCCTGTCCCAGAACTTGTAGGGGTTCCCCACTGCTCTGATCCTTTCAGGAGAAAAGGGCAGGAACTCTCCACAGCTCTCTTTGCAGGGCATGAAGTACACTGGCAGGGAGCGGTCCCGGAGCAGATCCCCTCTGTGGGGCAGGGATCTCCGCAGCTGGTCTGTGGACACCGCAGACTATGATGACTCTTCAGAGAGAAGAACTGGTCCGCCAAGTCGTGACCGTGGTCCTAGGGATAGCACAGCTGCCAGGCCTTCCAAGAGGATCTGCCGGTGGGCTCCCGCTCCCAGGGCTGCTCAGGAGCAAACCTTGCTGAGGCAGAGGGAGCCAAGCAGATCTGTGCAGGGAACTTACAACCTTTGCATGAAGTACACTGGCAGGGAGCGGTCCCGGAGCAGATCCCCTCTGTGGGGCAGGGATCTCCGCAGCTGGTCTGTGGACACCGCAGACTATGATGACTCTTCAGAGAGAAGAACTGGTCCTCCAAGTCGTGACCGTGGTCCTAGGGATAGCACAGCTGCCAGGCCTTCCAAGAGGATCTGCCGGTGGGCTCCCGCGCCCAGGGCTGCTCAGGAGCAAACCTTGCTGAGGCAGAGGGAGCCAAGCAGATCTGTGCGGGGAACTTACAACCTTCGCAGCCGGTTTGTGCAGTACACAGACTATGACCGCTCACTGCGGAAGAGAAAGAGGGAGAGAACAAGTCCTCCACGTTGTGACCAAGTCTTAGTGAATACTGCAGTTCCAGGGCCCTCCAAAGCCAGCTCCAAGCAGGCTCTCATGCTCCGGGCTGCTCGGGAGCAAACCCCACAGAGGCAGAGAGAGCAGAGAAGATCAACAGGGCGGGGCTATGATTGCCACAGCCAGTTTGTGCAGTACACAGACTACCGCCCTTCAGAGAAGAAGAGGAGGGTTTCCATGCCCCAGAGATTCACGTCAGACAAGCATTCAGGGCACTCTGGCAATGATGGCGTTGAATTATGGCCCTGGCTCAAGCAGAACGGAAGACTAGCACTGCGTTTATTAGCGAAGGCATCCTTGTTTTCGAAACGCCTTCTCAGACCTAAGTGAATGATTTAGCTAAGTAGATGATAGTTATAATAATATAGAAATATTATTAGAAATATAGAAATATATATGGAAATTTAGAATATATATAGAGAGAGAAGTATATATAGAAATATAGAAATATATATAGAAATATAGAATAGAGAGAGAGAGAAGTATATATAGAAATATAGAAATATATATAGAAATATAATATAGAAATATACATAGAAGTAATATTTTATAATACATTATTACATGTTATATATATTCAGCAATAGATAGTAATGTTATAAGAAATATTATTAAAATAATAAAATAAGAAATACTAAAATACTGTAATTAGAATTATTTATTCCACGTTGTAGACAATTATAGCTACAAACATCTCAGCCTCGGCCATATCAATCAACATAACTGGTCTACTCTGGCCTCCAATCGGGAGGCCTGGAGACACACCATCTCTAACGCTGCTGTTTCCTTTGAGAACGCACGCAGAATCCCTCTCGAGGAGAAAAGACAAGGGAGAAAGAATCATGTCTTGCAGAATATACCACCTAGGGAGTCTTTCTGCTGTGCCTTTTGCAATCGGATATGTCTATCTCGCATTGGCCTCCTAAGCCACCAGCGTGCTTGTAACAAATGTGGATAGAGCCTTGTTAAATCTTCGTTCGCGAAGCCTAGCCACGATGATGTGTTTAAGACGGGCGTTCCATAATTTAGTGTTCTCACTGAAACCATGCAAATCGTGCGCCACTCGCTCACTTCCCACTCCTCCTTCCCTTCCCACTCCCCCTCCATCCTGAGGCAGGCTGGACGGGAGAATTGGAGGCACAAAAGGTAAAGATCGCAGGCTGAGACAAGAACAATTTACAGGAAACGGCAATGAAATAAGAAAACAGTACAGCAACACAACAGTAACAGAAACAATACTAATAACCGAGTGTACAAGGGAGGCAAATGACTCACGCATGATTGCTCACCAGTTGGTGCCCAACTTTGCCACCACGCACACAACCTGGAAGAGACCCCTTCCCCCATCCTTGACAAAATGAGGAATAACCTCTATGTCCTGGCTGTGCCCCCTCCTGGATACTGCCAGAATTAACACTGTCCTGACCAGAAGCAGGACAATCACCTTCAGGATCTGCAGCACAGCTTTCGGCTCTGCACCGGAGGCACTGGATCCCTCCAGGCCAGGGAGGGGAGACATCAGAGATGAGCAGACTTTGGAAATCCCTCCCCTCTCACTCCGGCCCATTTTTTCTCATTTTATGGGATGGAAGAATACATACCCAACTCCTCCCAGTGTCCTTCTCACTGGAAATCCCCTGAGCTTTGATTCCTTTGCTGACATGCTGCTTCCTCTGGGAAAAGCAGCCAGAAAACCCAAGGCCATTGCTTTGAGTGAAGGTCTTTCTTAGAACACTTTTCCTGAAGTGCACCCAGGAAGGCTGGGCTGCAGCAGCACATGGCCCCCATGGCTTTGCTACATCTCCTCCAGAACACCTGGAAGCCCTTCTCTCACCATCCAGCCGCTCCCCTGCCCTGTCTTCCCCACCCCACAGGGATGCTGCAGAGGAGTTAACAAACTTCACAGTTCAATCCTGATATCCCACTGCTGACTGGGATGGGGTGAGACCAGGGGCAGTTTTGGCCCCCATCAGCACCAGCTCTTGGGACAGCCAGGCTCTCTCCTGACATGTGGGCTCATCTCTGCAGCTTTGCTGTCCTCCACAGGGCGTTTGCTGAAAAAAATCATCTTCCAGAAAAGACATATGACACGAGCCCAGGGGTCAGCAGCACCACACGAGAGCTTGGCAAGATGCCCTGAGGACAGCCAGGCCAGGCAGAGAGAGGTGGAAGGACCACAGGGGCTCTCTGAAGCAGCCCCATTGTACAACGTAGACAATGAGGCTAAATAAACACTGGGATGAAAGATGATAGTGCTCTTACAAGGGAAATTTACAGCTGCTGTACAGGCCTGGGGCTCTTGCTGGAAAGCTTCAGTCTCTGGGCTCCCGGTGCCCAAAGGCATTGCAGATAACTCCTTCTCAAGCAACGGCAGGGAGCAGGGTGGAGAAGTCAAGGATGAGGCAGATCAGAAAGACTGGGGCAGCACAAAGAGATCTACAAGGGAGAGAGGCAGCACCTGAAAGGCACTCCTTGCTGACCTATGAGCTGGTGCCGTGGGCTCTACAACTGCTGCCTGCAGTCAGCTTGGAAGCTCTGGCGGTTTTCACAGGAGGTTTGTCTGCAAACAAGATGGAGAGACATTACGATGATGGATGCGGGTATATTCCTGACCTAGGCTCTCCAGAGGGAGATTTGCTGTCTCCTCATGGGCCATAGAGGCTTTTAATACGGGATGAACTTCACTTTGTCTCCCCAAGCTCATGTCCAGCCTGTTCCATGGCCTCTGACTGCGATCTGCTGTCCACCTAGCTTCATCCCCCCTCACAACCCTGGGGACTCCTTGGAGATGAATGGCTGCCGTGCCAGCACCTGCTGCTCCAGGAAGGGAGGGCAAGGTGAAGATGCTACACTCGCAGGTGCAAAGAAGGTTCATTTTGCCATGGGATCCCGGGAGGTCACCATGCACATCGTCAATGGGGTCTGAAAAAAGAAAACTTACAGATGTTGAGGCAGCTGAGCTCATCAAGCACATGTAGAAAAGCTCCTGATTTCAGTATGGCTGGCTCTTTTGAAATGCCCCAGGAAGGAAGATTTGGTCTCAGGCATCATCAGCCTCATTGGCCAGTCTAGAGAGAACTGCCTGGACTTGAATCAGAAGTCTGTGGATAAGAGATTTAGCTTCATTTAGCTAGAAATGGGATATCTCTCTCCAGTGAGCCAGCTGCTTGCCATTCCGTTAGTCCCTGACCACAAGCAGCACTGAATCTGTGATCTCTCCCCCTCCAGTTTCTCAGAGTCCCTGGGTAACCCTGAAAGCACTGCTTCAGTATCAGGTTCTGCAAGAGGCCTTCAAAAAAGCAGCTAGGGGATTAGGTGAGGGGAAGAACCAGAAAATCGCACGCATTCCTCCCTGGATTCGTGAAAGACAATAAGAAAGGAATACAAGACCCCCAAAAGCAAGTCCACTTGATGGGAGCGGCAGGTGAGCATCTCTGGTTCAGTAGTGATACGATGCACTCAACTGCAGCTTGCAGACAAGAATCCTGAACCATTCCAGTAGCCAAGATTGCCACCTGATCCCAAGGTCCCCTGTCCTCTGCCCCATGCATTTCCACGGGACCAAAGCCCCTATGCACAGCAAAAGGAAAGTATGTGAATGTACGCACACGGTAACTTGCTCCTGGCCTTTTCAGCCTATGGAGGAAGACAACTTCCCTCATTAGAAAATGAAGCAGGTCTGACCTGGACTTTCTCAAAACACTCTAAAGCCAGAGGCAGGTTTCTCCCATAAGCGACAGCAAAGCCCTCCTCCTGCCCATGTTGTTTGGGAAATGGCACAAGAACCAGGAGAATCACAGAGAGATTCACACCCTCAGAGACACCAGTGAGTGCAGCCCCTCCTGACATCATCTGGGCAGAAGCCTCCAGCCCTTGGGATGACTTTACCTCCTAACAGAGGTGCCAGAGCACCTGATCTGGATTTACCAGGCCTGCTTTAGTACCATGCCACAATAATTGTTGCAGCATCCCAGCCTTTCCTTGCTCGAGCCAGTCTGTTTGTAGGTTGTTTGGATCTCCACCTCCACATTGCAGGGGGATTGAACACCACTGATCACATCCACTTCTACCTCTGACCTGAAGGGAGAGGAAGATTTCCCCGTTTGCTGTTGTGGCAAGTGGCGCCTCTCTGCAAGAGATTTCATCTCCTGCTCGGGGCCCCTCTGCACTGGCCAGGCTCACTCCATGCTGCTGGACCTCTCCCAGCCCCTCTAAGCAGGGCTCCGGTCAAGTCTTTGTAACAACTCCCCATTCCTCAAAATAGCTTGGCACTCCTGTAGCAGTTTGGGTGGGGAATGCCAAACTCACACCAACTAATGGCTCTGTCCAATCACCTGAGGAGTAGCAGGTACCACCCAGTGCGGAGGTCAGCGCTTGAATAAAGACCTCCACAACTTTTCTGGGTGCAGCTGGTAAGGCGATTTTATTATAAAGGTAGCGGGGCAACTGAACTGCTTAAAGGGAGGAACAAAAGGGCACAAAAAGCACTGCGCAAAATGGCTCCAGCCTTAAATAACACGGGTAAGGAAGGCGCTGGAACAGAAGATGGGGTTTGGGCGGAGCATGCAAATTACAACCAATCATAGGAGATGGGGGCTGAACATAACCGTATAGGGTACTGCGTCAAATATCAACCAATGAAAGGACAGAACATACAGACGGTACAATACAATACAACAACTTATATGCAAAATCTACAATTTCCTTATAATTACACATTTTTAGACTGCCACAACCCAGCCTGCCCCATGCAGAGCCCTGCGGGTGGCTCCTGCTACGCCCAATGCCAAAAGAACACCACAGGAGACCCTGGGGAGGGAAGAAGGGAAGGAAAGAAGGAAATCTCAGTGCTTTGGATCTGGAGCAGCTGGGGGAACTCCAGTGCCTCCCAAGACGCCCTGTCAGACACGTGAGGAACTGCAGAGTCGAGAGCTCTCCCCACGCACCCCTACAGCCCGCTCCGAAATAAATACCATTGACTGCCCAAGGAAGGTCCCCTTCAGAGTAGCGACACGATCCCCGTAGCCCCTTGCTCTGGATTCCCCCGCCCATTCCCGGCCTCACCCCTCTGTGCCCAGAGCCCACTAGCTTTGAGCTACAGGGAGCAGAGGGGCTCTGTTGCCACCCTGTCAGGCGGCGTGAGCTGTAGAACAGCTCCAGTGGCCAAGTGCAGGGCTGAGCTCTCCATGGGACTGTGTCTGGCTTCAGGCAGTTTTCTGACTGGGAATGGGACTATTCTAGCCCAAAGGGAGCAATCAGGATCCAACATCTGTTTTGTTTAAGGCTATCAGGAGCCTTCTTGGTCGCTTATCCTTTGATTTTTCTCCAAATCTTGAAGTGGTTTTGATGAGGTACAAAAATGAGGTGCAGAAAGCATACCTTCCTCCCCCATAGACACAGTTTCCCCTCAGATCAGGGGGATCAGACCAAATCTCTGGTGGGAGCTGTTTTATTAAGCTTGTCAGACCTTGAGCATCAGGGGAGCTGTGTACAGCTCGTGGCAGCAGGTGCTGGGGCCTTGGCCAGTGTCACCTGGAAGGGGAAAGGAGGAAAGGGGACCAGCACGGATCCCTGCTGCCCTGCATATCCCCTGAGCCAAGGGACACTTATGGACAGTTGTTCTGCACCTCCCCCTGTCCCCTTTTGGTCAGGGCTATCACCTGACACTGCGGTGACAGACGGGTTCATCAGGATATCCTGGGCAGAATGATGATGGCACTGAGTCATAGTTGCAATTAAAGCTTCATTTTTTTTAACATCATGGTATGATCACTATAGCCCAGAATACCATGATTTGAGTAGCACAAGATTTCTATCAGCAGCACCAGCATAGCAAGATTTTGTAAGCCCTTTAGCACCGAATTGTACAGCACAGCTCAGCTTATGATGCCTGATCACCTGGACCTGATCACTCTGCAGGCCAGGGCACATCCTAATCCTTGGTTTGTCATGTCAATATAACAATCTTAATCTAGACTTGAAACACGTTAACAGAACATGAGTGGCCCTTTCAGGGGAGAAGAGTCTGTTTGGGTATTAAGATGGGGCTCTGTGTGCTGCTGTGCTGCCCTGTGCTGCTGTGAGGCCATCACAGCCTGGCAGGCCTGTGAGGAGCAAAGGAGGCGGCCTGGTGCCTGGAAACGTGAAGGCTGATAGGGAGGGGGAGAAGGGGTCTTCCTGGCGCACTGGACCTTCAGGGACTGACGATGAGGGCAAAGGGGACTCATGTAGGACCAGCTTGGTCACAGAGCACAGCTGTTTACGTCCTAAAATGCCCCCATATGAGCAGGAGGCAGGAGCAGAGGCACTGTTCACGAGTGCCACTGTTGATTGTCTTCATCAGAGAGCTCCTGAAGTGCTGCTGGGAGGACGGTAATACAGGACCTAGACATCAGGTTAGGGCAGGGGCATAAAAAGTCACCTGAGAGGTGTAATGCAGGAGTAAATGCAGAGACTTTGTCTGGGTAAGGGATACAAGGAGCCTCCCCAAGGATGACAGGGATAAAACCAGCTGCTGCAAGACGTGATGAAAAAAGCCATCCAAGCAAAGTCATGCCCTAGCTGGATGCCCCAAGTATAAAAGAAGAAACACCTCGGAGTGGAGCAGGAGCCGTATGAACTGTGCTGAGCTGGGCAGGAGTAAAACCACCTGTCCTGAGAAGAACTGAGTAAAACTTGATGCCCCATTCCAGGCAGGGGCCAAACCAGCCAGTTCAAGTGTTGTTAAATAACAACCAGCTGCATCCTTGGAGCATGAGAAACACTATCTGCCTGCTGAGCAGAGGTTACACCAGGTGTCCAGAGGACTGCCTGTTGCTAAATACCTCTGAAACTGTCGGGATAAATAGGACCCTCTAGCAAATTGGCTTTTTAGTGTTAGAAAGCAAGTGATTACTTTTATTTGCAGCCCTGGGTGTGCATGTGGCTGGCAAAAATCCTGCCTCCATACTGACAGCAAGACATCGCTTTTCACCTATTTATACAGATTTGGCAAACAAAGAAATTAATGTTCATTGCTTCCAAATTACATCACTCGCTCCCTTTCATTAATTAGTGTTCTATGTGGTATTGGTTATTAATTTCTCACTTTCTACTGTAATAACTTCATATCTTTTTTGTATATTTTCCCTCCCCTAGGGATTTTCTGACACAAATGCTGAGCCTTTGTTAGTCTTCTTCTTTATCTGCTGGTTTCTGCAGAAGGTCCTTGTAGTCCATAAATCTTGTGTTCCAGATCTCCTCCTTCAACAGGACATCTTTCTCTGGCAGGCTTTCTCCACTGAAGCATAACAGGGTTAACTTCAACAAAACTTACAGGTTTAGTACTTTTCCCAGGCTGTGTTCTCACACAGGAGCTTATGACAATTTTTACTCCATGCTGGCTAAAGTTGATTTAAGGCTGAACGCACCGCCTACGATGTGTGTTAAAAACAACTAATCAAAAAGTTAATCAGGAACACTAAAAAAATTAGAAAAGTTTTATGGTTTCCAACAAGCCCAAAACAACATAGGCCAAGTGCAGCAGGGACAAAACTGTCTCTATCCATTGATGCCAGGAAAAGGCAACAGTAGTAAAACTCAATAGCCACAGGTGCTATTAAGCTGGTATTTCTTTATTTCGGCGCCGGCCGTGCGGGGGACAGCTCCGCCTAACACGCGCGTGCCCTCGCCCATCGTAGCTTCCGTTTTATACAATTAGGTCATACAGATTCATTGCACATTTTTACATCTTCATGAACTACCCGAGAGTGGGCAGTGTTCTATGTAAATCTCGGGACACGCCTCCTGGAGCCTGCGCACTTCTCTCTGGTGGATGTCTCGGGTGGTCGTAAGGGATGAAGGCTCAAAGTCTTCCTCTCTCTGAACTTCTCACCTCACTCAGTCCCTCAGCATCTTCCCCTGGCAACGGCTCCTCATGGGCTGCCC